CAGTATTTTCGTTATAACTTTAGAACTACTGTAGTTATGGGGCTGTAAGTCAGGATTGTGGTTATTTAGGGTCTGATACACCTCTGCTCCAAATATGGGACCGATTGGATGTAACACGGCGAAATGCCAGATGGGTCGTTTTTTTGCGACACCCTGTATACTGTATTTTGTGGTGTTTTTTTGTGGCTTTTGATTGCTCGCAAATTATAATACATATTTTTAGAAATCTTAAAACTCGAAAATTTGCGCATTTTTCGTGGTTTTTCATATTTTTGGCTCAACTATTATGATTTTTCATGCCCAAAACTCCAATGCATTTTGATGAAACACACATTTTTTTTGTAAAATTTATTAAATCGCACACGATTCGCACCAGGCTCTCGTTCTCATTAAACTACGAGAAACACAGACATAAAAACAAAAAAAATCTTTTTCAACTCGATTTTCAAAAATGTTCGCCCCGTGCACCCCCAAAAAAGGCAGCAATTTCTCTGGGGGCCACGGGGCATTCAAATTTTGACGGAAATTAGCGCAAAATGAGCAAATCCTATTTCGAAAACCGGGGCTGATTTTATGCAAATTAAGTTCGAGTTTCTTTACTGCATTTTAGTGATTTTAATGATATAAAAATGTTACAATTTTTACCGTATCTCAATTTAGGCATTACGGCACCAAATAGGCAGCAGCGGTACCGTAATCCCATTAATAAAACGGTATATGGTAATTTTTTAAGGTATCCTCTTGGGGTATCTGGTCATATGCAAATTTGCATAAAGTACCAGCTCCCCGAAACTCGAACAAACTCAGCCCCGTTTACAGTAATGTAGCGGAAATATGGAAATAGAAAATCTATCAAAACTACGCGATTTTCTAACCAACAAAAAATCACAAAAACATGTTTCAAAAATTTTCAAAACTCCCAAATTTTTTCGGCGCTTTGTGGCAGCAAATCACCTAAAAATTGGGCAAAAAAAAATCGATAAATCGAAAAACCGAAAATTAGGGCAATTTTGCCGCCATTTTTTTTGCGAAAAATGGGCGTGGCCTCCGCGGTGGCAGCCGGGGGGCGTGGCCTCGATTTTCAGGGGCAGGCGGGGTTTTTGAGCAGCAATTTGAATATTTTGAATTATATGGCGTAATTCAATGAATTATATATTTTTCTTGTCATGGGCAGCAACAAGAAAATCGATAAAATATCGATAAGGTAGCCATTAAAGGTATGGAAAATCGATTACGACGTTATAATCAATAAATGATGGCAATTTTCGTCTCGTGTGGTCCTTTCTGGGGGTAAAAATAGAGTTTGTAGTTTCTTGTAGATTTGATCACTTGCGCGCAGCCGGGCGTCGTTGCGGCAGCGCTGCGGTTGTGCCTGGAAAAAGGGTTTTATTTGATATTATTACCTTCAATTTAAGTTTAAAATTAAAAAGCAATTTATTAGGTCCAGCGGTCTCACGATTGTCATTGAATTTTATAAAATTGACTGGTACAAACATGAAACATATACTTTTTTACAGTCGCTTCTTCAAATTGAAAAATTAGAAAATTTTAGTTTCATTTTAAATTCGATTCACTAGGGTCGAAATATGCAATTTATGATTTATGATTTCTCGATAGCTCAAATGGGCCAACCGCAAAATAAATTGCGTCGTTTTCGAAAAATCATGTTGCAAAAAACATCAAATCTATGAAAAATATGGATTCGGCAATACAGGGCCTTTTCCATTCTAGCAAAAATTAAATACGCGTTTATACCTGCCGTTTTAAGTTCTCAACTGCAATAATTTGCCTCATAAAGTAATCAATAAATATTATTTATAAATCGCAAAATTACACGTTTTTGGCTAGGAAAGGAATGTTTCGAACATTCTTTAAAAGTGGAAAAGTTGAAAATGCATAATCAGATCCATGATAACAAATTTTAGCTTATTGGCCGTTAAAAGCAAAAAAATGCTTTCGATCATACCTTCAAAAAATTCGTTGGACGGGACCGACGACCGGACGACGGCACAGAAGGCGACGAGTACGGTGGTGGACAATAGACGGAGGACGGCTGGAAATGACAGCACTGGACTGGACAATGCACATAAAAATCACGATTATAATCAAATAACATAAATAAAAAATATACTATATTAACATAAATCACCCATTTTCCCTTTTTTGCTAAAAAATGCCGATTTTCGACAGGAATTTCAAATTTTAAGCCGTGAGATGGTTTTGCCGGCTCAAGTCTAGGAAACCCCCCCCCCAGCCGACTTTTCAACTTTTCTACCTTCCTTATTTTTATTTTTCGCTACTTTTTTCGACTGAACTGCAATCTAGTCTTACTAATTAGACTACGGCGAACATTTTGGTATACTTTAGAGCTCGCTAGCACAAAGGAGGGCCGAGATACAAAAGTTGGTGCCGGCTGGAGGGGGGGGGGGTTTCTAGACTCTTACCGTTTTGCCCTGCAAATATCGTTAATCTTAATAAAAACGCTATTAAATTACGTACTATTACGTCAATAGGAATTTCTTAACTTATAAAAGCACCCTCCCACGATATTGCAAAAGCACCAATTGAAAAGATGATGTTTCATCAAATCTGCAGCCAACTCCACTAATTTTTCACTGAATCACTGAATGGATTGCTTGCAAAATAGTTAACTACTAAAATCAAAAATATCTCACTAGAAAAACTAAGATTACCGTAACCTCTAAGAACAGAGACTTTCTGCATTTCTGGATTTATAGGAAAAAGCCTCCCACCCCGATAATGCAAAAGAACCTATTCATAACCAATTTTGAAAAATGATGTTTCATAAAATGTACAGTTAACTGCACTATTTTTTGACCTAATAAACTGTTTTTTTTCCTTGAAAATGCTACAGATAAGAATTAAAAATAACGCATTAAAGACCGTACCCTCTATTAGAAGAGCCTTTCTGCTTTTTTGGATTTATAGGGAACAGCCCCCCGATAATGCAAAAGCACCAAACAACCAATTTTGAAAAATGATGTTTCATCAAATGTACAGTTAACTGCACTTAATTTTTGGCATAATCAATCGCTTTTTTTAGGTAAAATGCAACTCATAAAAATAGAAAATGGCAAGTACGGTGCCTTGTAGGAGGAGAACCCTTCTGCATTTCTAGATTTATAATAAAGGGCCCCCGATAATGCAAAAGGACCACTTAACCAGATAATTTTTAAAAAGTTATGTTTCATCAAATGTGCATCCAACCCGACTAAATTTTGGCTTAATGGCCCGCTCTTTCTGGTGGAAACAATGCAACATACAAATTTCCAAATAGAGACACTTAAAGTACACCAAAAATAACCGTACCCTCCAGGAGCAGCTTGGCCGTGGCGAGGTCTTCGCCGTAAGGGTTCCTCACGGTGCAGAGGTACTCTCCAAAATGTTCCTTTTCCATGTAAACGACAGATAGGGTAGAGTCTCCATCACGAGTATCGATCGAATAGCCACCGACACCTGTAAGAAAATGTTAAAAATGGTACTTAATCTCGGAAGTTTTTCAATATACATTTTTTAAAATCCTAATTAATTTATTTTTTATGGGTCAAATCAAAGTTTTGTAGCTCTGGACGATATTCAAACCGCATTACGAAAATAAAAACCTTTCGAGCTTGAAATATTTCTGAAACGCATTTTTTTACCGTTCTGGCAAAGGAGTAATTTGAGACACCATCGCGCAAAATATGTTTCGATGATTCGCACCGTTCTGGGAGGGGACGATCTTTTAATCCGCCGCCTCTTTCAATAACAAGATTCTTATAAAGCTCCCTTAGAAGTTGGCCACACTACACTACGTTACGCTCCTAAAAACGCGGTCTTTCGAATTCGGAGATCGTTTCGGAATTTACTCAAAAATTTAGACTTGATTAACTACGTGTTTCACAGCACCATTACAAGAAACTAGAATTTGAAAAAAATGTGTCTCGTCAATTTTTAATGACCCCCGGCGAGCCGAATTTTTAATTGATGCTTACTCCCAGTCTGGAAAACTATCTTGCCAAAAAATAAAGTGCCACTTTCCCTTCAAACATAGCCTACGATACGCTACGCTACGTTACGCTCCAAAAAACGTACCATCCCGAATTCGGACATCATCGCGGAACCACGAGACGACCGGCATCGGTTTGCCCTCGAACGAGCATTGCAGTTGGGCTTTTTGGCCGACGGCGGCCTGCATCGACACCGGATGCACCAGGAAACGCGGCTGGTTCGCCGAGGAGCCGCTTCTGCAAATTCTCATTTTCGAAAATTTTTTAAATTTGTGTAAAATATCTATAAAATTATTTAAATTCCCTGGAAAAACATATTTTTGAAATTTAAGGGGGGATGAAACGCTTTGATTTGTTTGTTAAACTTTAACTTGTTAAAAAATACACCATCTTTTTTTACTATACACCATTACTTGGCAAAGAAAAATTTTTAAAACCAAAAATTTTTGAAACATTTAAATTTTGAGGCAATTTAAAGGAACGGTATTTGATAGTGCTGGCGTATTATTTAAAAAAATCGTAATATCAATGCTATTTTATATAAAAAGTAATAGACTTTAATATCCAGCGAAAAAAATATGTTTCTGCACAAAGCCATATTTGGGAAACTTTGATAGAGCGTAATGCCTTAGAGGGGGGATCATTACTTCTAAACCATTACTTCTAAAAGTCATTACTTCAAAAACCATTACTTCTAAAATCATTACTTCTAAAAATCATTACTTCTAAAAACGTTACTTCTAAAATTTGGTACGCCGGATTACCAGTTTCGGCACGTTTGGCCATATTTATGCCCAAAACGAGGCTTAGAATTTTAGAAGTAACGACTTTTAGAAGTAATGGTTTTAGAAGTAATGACTTTTAGAAGTAATGATTTTGGAAGTAACGACTTTTAGAGGTAATGGTGGGTAGCCCTTAGAGGGCAGTAAAAAAAATACCAATGCTATTTATGAAATCTAAACATAAACCTATATATCTAAATATCTTCTAAAAAATATTAAAAACGTACGGTGTTGGCTCGCGTACTGTCACGTCGACGGTGTGCGTCGTTTGACCGGCATGGTTCGAGGCGGTGATTCGGTATTTTCCAGCGTCGCGTCGATTCGTATCAGAAACGGTCAGAATCATCGACTCGCCATCGGAAGTCATCTGGAATGACGCGGAGGATTTTATTTGATTAGGAAGAATCAAGAGCCGGACTACGGAAAATCGAAAAATCTCGTACACACTCCTTCATTAAAACATTGTTTTTCTTTCTATTTCGCAGTTTTTAGCCTGCACTTAAGCTTTTTTGAATAAATTGTATATTTGTTGTTCATAAGGATTCTATATATTCATATATTTTATTTGTTTTCTCCATGCTGGTAGCTCCATTTTGGTATACTTTATAGCCCTATAGCTTATAGACCGTCGATATCCAAAATTACAAAATTGGACCCGAATTCACACTTTAAAAACCTATAAAAAAAATCGTTTTGCTACTTTTGAAAAGCTAGTATCGTGTCGGGGGTTGGGGGGACTGGCCGTCGCACGTCATCCGGAACGAAGCGGAAACTTCGATTTTTGCAGCCCTCGAAACCTCCAGAGGTATTACGGCAAATCAAGAAATCCCTTGGCCGGTCGGGCGTTGAAACACACTTATTTTGCGTAAATTCAATATTTTCTAATTTTTTCGCTTTTTAGCAGAATTTGTAAAAGTTGCCCGAAATCAAACCTTAAAATTTGCACAAAATTGTGTATCCAAGGTTTAAAACGAGCTGAACATTTTGAAATACATGGCGGATTAATAGGGAGTAGATCCGCGGAGATACAGAAGGTTTTTTGGAATTCCAGAGTAGTTTTGAGCCGAACAAACTTCCAAAATTGTTAAAAAATCGTGTTGCAAATTTTTTTCAAAGTCCTATGTGATTACCGGCCGAGTAATTTGAGCTTGACCTTCAGCGAAAAAACCAGCCATTAATGGGAAGTGTATCTGCACACATTTTTTCAGTCCTTTTTGCGAAACTACAAGATAACAATTAGCGGGTTTATTATTTCGATCGATATGACGCGACAAAGAAATTTTATGAAACGTCGTTTTTTCAAAAATACACACCTTGCACTTGTCGCTGTTGATGATCTTCTCCGTGCCCTTGTGCCATTCGACGACCGGATCGGGGTGGCCGACGATCTTCAAAACATTTTTACATCATAGAATTTAGGGTTGGCCTAATAGAATACCTAGATCGTTTGAAAAAAACATAGTTTCAAAAATAATGGATCCATTGATTTTTCTCGAATAATTAATGCTTGAGGTTAGAGTTGGAAAACCCCCCGAGAAATACCCCCGGGGGTATTTGAAAACCCCCCCGCCGCAAACTTGGGTAATTGAACCAACATCGGGGTTCTCGAAAGTCCCGTTGGTTCGATCGGCCGAACTGTTATTTATGATCAGTGGGCCAGGTCCGCGTCTTTCACCTTTCTGGAAAAGACGCGTACCTGGCCCACTCATCGGTGCCAATTCGGTCCCACTAACGAACGGTCCCTCAGGGGGGTTTTTTAGGGGTATTTTTTGCTCCCCCGGGGGGGTTTTGCGGGGGGGTTTTCCAAGTCTACTTGAGGTACAACCACGTCCCTGTGATATAGTCAGACTTTTGTGAAAAAGAGCGATGTTTTAAAAACCAATACATTAGCACATACTTTTCAAACCCTTTACTTTCTTGCTTCTCCTTCGTAGGCCCGTTGCCAGTTTTATGCTGACTTTTCTATTTTTAATTGAGAAACTTTCGATATTCATTAAAAGGTTGAAAAGAACAGAACTAAAATCATTAAAAGGTTGAAAAGAACAGAGCCCCGAGAGAAAAACCATTGAACCGATTTTTTTTTTGTCGAAAAATGCTTTATGCCATAACTCGGAAAAATAGCTTAGCCCAGAATTAATCGTTTATTCTGTATTAAATTTTTTTTATTTGAGTTGACAAACAGTTTTTCTTTTCATATATTAACATTTATTTAGCAATTCTTACCTTTGCCTTGATCACCAGCGGCATTCCGAGGTCAGCGCTGAGGCTGGCTGGGGCATCCAAGATTTTCGGGGCCTGCTCGCCGGCCGGCTTCTCGTCGGAGTAGACCTAAGGAAATTCAATCTTACTTTATTTCTATTAATTTTGTATTCCAAATGAATTTTGCTTTACAGCAACATCGGCGAAAATTTTCCGTTTCCTAAAAAATGTTGCGATCATTATTTATAAACCCAGAATTTTTTAAGACTTAATATATAGCTCAATGGCGTTCCTCAAAGAATCTCTGTTAGCCTGCCCCTCCATTCCTCAAAGAATCTCTGCTAGCCTGCCCCTCCATTCCTCAAAGAATCTCTGCTAGCCTGCCCCTCCATTCCTCAAAGAATCTCTGCTAGCCTGCCCCTCCATTCCCCAAAGAATCTCTGCTAGCCTGCCCCTCCATTCCTCAAAGAATCTCTGCTAGCCTGCCCCTCCATTCCTCAAAGAATCTCTGCTAGCCTGCCCCTCCATTCCCCAAAGAATCTCTGCTAGCCTGCCCCGTCCATTCCTCAAAGAATCTCTGCTAGCTTACCTCCATCCTCATCTGGCATCTGGCCACTCCCCATTGATTTCTGGCCTCGCAGCTGTACTGTCCGGCATCTTCTGGGAATGCGTCTGCCACGGCCAATCGGCAGATCTTTCCGCTTTGTGAGTATCGGAATGCGGCGGAATCTGAAAGCGTCAATTTTACATGGGGTTAGGATGCTGTAGAAAATTGTATTTTTGCAAAGGAAATGAGGAGGCATTAGTAAGCTGGCAAACTGGTTCCACTGCTTAGGTTTTTGAAACATTCTTGAAGCTAAATCCTTTTCAACTGCTTTTCCGAAGAATCAGTTTTTCCGGTTTTGTGAGTACCGGAATGCTGCCGAATCTGGAAGGATGGATTTTACAAAGCAAGTTTACAAGGTTTAAAATTGTTCAATTTTTCATTAGTTTGAAACAGAAACTGATAGTGAATTAGTGACCCAGAAACCTGTTTCATGAGGGAACATTTTGAAGCAAGCTTTTGGCACCATTTTTTCTATCAGTATTCCGAGGACAGTTTTATCTCCATAAGCTCTTTTTCTACAGTTCGAAAATTGGAAATGTATAATTTGCAAAACGTGTTACCAATTTTCCAATTACGCGTGGTATAATTTAACATACGGCGTTCTTGAAGGTCGAATTTATTCAATTTCTATTTCTATTTACAGCGTTTCATCTGAAAGGCGGGATTTTAAGTTTTGTAGCTGGCAGCAACAATTTTAAAAACGAGTTTCGGGGGCCTGATTTAACCAATTTTCTCTAATTAAAAAAATGTTTCCCAAATTGGGAATCAGGAATAGCTTTTAAAATTCCCAGTTAACTTGTGTATTCTTTTTTCACGTATTTCGATATGCGTTCATTGTCCGGACCGGAAACCGGATCAGTGAATTCTTGGGAGTAGCAATTTACAGAAAAAGTGTTTCGCGAAGGTCAATATTAAACCGCGGCTCCTACGCTTTAATGCAATTTTGGCTTCTTCAAAAATAACGGTAAAAATGTCGATGGCCTCTAAAGTCCCCAATATTTAGATTAAGGTGAAGGCTATATATGCTATATTGATTTGAATATAAACATATAGCCCATTTAATTACGATTTTTTTTATAATTTTTATTACTAAAAACGACAACCCGCTTCTAATTGTAAACTATTTATATACTTCTATTTATATAACTAATTATGTAAACAAAAAGTAGCTATAATTGACTGGATAAAAAAAATACCTTCAATCTGCACGCCGTCCCTCAGCCACTTAATCGTCAACGGCTCGGAGCCCTCGATGATCTCGGCCTCCAAACTACACGACTGGCCGTCTCGGACCCGGATGCGGTCCTTCAGGCGCTCTGCGCGGAATAGTGGCGCTTGGCCGTCTCCGGTCTTGTGAACCCCAGGGGCCACCTGAAAACAATGGGTTTCATTAATTTTCAAAAACAAGAGCTAGATTTGAATGTTAATAATAATTCGGCTAATGATTCATCTATGGGGAAACCATCGAGGAAGATGAAAAATGGTTTCGTTAATTTCCTCCCCTCCGCTCGACTACTCACCCCGAGAACGATGCCAAAAAAAATTGAAAAAAATAGGTTTCATCCATTTCCAAAAATTAGCTAGTTTTGATTTAGATAATGGTCTCTTGATCTAGCACTCCCGAATTCAATCATGAAAAAAGTTGCTTGTCGCGTTAAATTATCAAATTTTGCAAAAACCCTGAATAATAACGGCTTTATATTAAATCACAAAAATTTGATTTTCATTCAAATTTAAAAGCAAGTTGCAAAAGCTTTGATGTAGAAATTAATTGTTTCTTCCATAGCGGGGATCGACGACGAAGACATACGACATATTTTTGAGACAGTAGTAGACGGAATATTCCCGCTTAAATTGACTGAAAATAGAACGTTTCCGGACAGTTAAGATTATGTGGTACGAAAAGCGTTAATAACGGTCGTTTTATTGATTTTAGAGAATTCCTCAAAGAAAACAAGCATGTTTCGAAAAAGTGGTGGGTCGCGAAAAAGTAAGATTGCTCACTTTTGCCCACTATACTTTTCCGTATCCAAAAACTTACATTAAATTTATTAAAATTTATTTTAAAATGGTCTTTGTAATTCGCGTCATAGAAAATATCGCTTTAAGTATAAACGGTGTTAATCACGGGATGTTTATTTGTCTTGTTTTGTTTTCGAAACTTTGCAAAATTGAAAGATGATTTTTCACGAGAATAAAATATAATAATAAAAAACTACAATATCCAATATAATAAGTACAGTACCTCAAACTTCATCTGCGTCTTCGCGTCGCCATTCTGGTTGGTGGCCACGCACGCGTAGCTGCCCTCGTCGGCCAGCGTCACGTGCGCAAACTTGAAAAATGACGTCAATTCTGTTTTTTAAGGAAATTAATGATTTTTTCAATGTTTTAATGACGAGACTCTTTGCGGAAAGTGGCGTGACTTACACTTTTTTTAGAGGGGCTGGCTAACAGAGACAAAATGAGAATTTTTGTTGATGGTTTTTACTCGACACGGGATTAAAAAAACTAAATTTTCGCTGTTGAAGGGATTTTCATGAAACATTTTTTGCGCGAATTTCCTAGTCCCAAATGATCTCTGCTAGCCTGCCATTTTTGCGGAATTCTTTCTAGGAACGTTTGAATTACTTCAAAAATTATAGCTAATGCGAAGTTGGGCAAATTGATGGAATCATACCATTATCTTCAAGGAATTGCTGTGAAACATTAATTTTTATGTGGCCTTTTCAACCCTTCAACCCCGTCACTCTCCCTTTAAACGTACCTTCAGCGTGGCACACTCTCCATCATAGCTCATCAAATATCGATCGGATGGTACCAGGGCCTGGCCATTCCGCATCCATACAATTGACGGGCTCGGGAAACCGGACACGGAGCATTCTACCGTAGTCTGCTCTCCGGCTGTTCCACGAAGAACGCCGGGGAGTACTTCGATAAATTGAGGTGCTTTCGGCTCCTTGCGCGTACGGCGCTTCGGCGCTTCCGCGCGGACCACCTGAAAAATCAGGGTATAGCTAGCAGAGATCATTTGGGATGAGAGAGAGGGGGAGGGGGCAGGCTAGCAGAGATCATTTGGGATGAGAGAGAGGGGGGGGGGCAGGCTAGCAGAGATCATTTGGGATGAGAGAGAGGGGGAGGGGGCAGTCTAGCAGAGATCATTTGGGATGAGAGCGAGGGGGAGGGGACAGGCTAGCAGAGATCATTTGGGATGAGAGAGGGGGAGGGGGCAGGCTAGCAGAGATCATTTGGGATGAGAGAGAGGGAGAGGGGGCAGGCTAGCAGAGATCATTTGGGATGAGAGAGAGGGGGGGGGGCAGGCTAGCAGAGATCATTCGGGATGAGAGAGAGGGGGAGGGGCAGGCTAGCAGAGATCATTTGGGATGAGAGAGAGGGGGCAGGCTAGCAGAGATTATTCGCGAAAATTCCTTACCTCAACCTCAGAAGAGCTGGTGGCAATTCCTTCAGTGTTAGTGGCGGTACAGTTGTAAAATCCTTGGTCGTGCACGGAGACGTGGTGCACCTGAAAATTTGGCATTGCAAAGTTAACTAAAAAATGACCAGAAATGAAAATCCTGATTCCTGAATTATTGAGGGAGTTAAACATTTTCCAACTAATTTCTATGAAACATTTTTTTGCAGAATTTTAGTGATGAATTATAGAAAAGCAGTAGAAGACGAGATCATTGATCAAATTAGGTTCAATTCATTCCAAGGAATAAAAGGCCTACTACTGGTAAAGGGTTGGACCGGACAACGCAAAATATTGAAACCTGTTTTTTCTCAAAATTTTCGTTCTAGATATTTCTCCAGGAAATAATAGCCGGTCCACGATCGGCATGAATTTTTGCAAAAATGGATGCATTCACCTAGGGTTTAAATCGCTCTTCAAATCATTAAATAGCATGAATTTAACGAGTAAGAATTTCCGCTCATTCCTGCACCGCATTAAGGTTTGGAAATCGCGCTCGACACTCAAAAACTTTGAAGCACATTTTTCTGCGATTTTTCGCTAACAGCCCCTATGCCCGGTGGTATTAAAATTGCAAATTAAGGGGTATCCATATCGCCAGATAGGTAAAAATTTTAGGAAAACAAATGCGTATCCCAGTCATATCCTAAAGACGCTGGCGCCGCGTCAAAATTTCAAAACACATTTTATCAGAAATTTGCGTCCTAGGTATTTCTCCAGATCCTAACAGCCAGTCATCTAAATATTGGTGATCACCCGTGTAAGCCTGCGCTTAAATAATGTTTTAGATAATTGAATAGCACGAATCGAGGTTAGGTTTGCAACGAGTCGCCCATTAAGATGTAGAATTCAGCCCCAACAGCTCAAAATTTAGAAACACATTTTCCTGAACTTTCTTCTCTAATACCACCCGATAAACTCTAGATAATAATCACTAGTCAAAGAACGGTATGAAATTTGTGAAAATGAACAAAATAACCCTATGTTATTAAATAATCCCTGAAATTATCCATGCTATATGAATTTTCCGTGTTAATGTCCCGCATTAACGTTTGGAAATCCCGCTTTACACCTCAAAATTTAGCGACACATATTTTTGCAACAATTTTTTTGCTACCAGCCCGAATATCACCCGATCATTTTCAGCAGGCAGCGGGCGGAACTAAATTAAAAATATAACGCTTGCTATAACCGACGTAGCTTAAATAAGACCTTAGTGTAATATTGGCAAAAAATGGCAAAGCTTGGTTAAGCGATGGTGTCAGTTATTTTTTAGAAAAGTGAAGATGAAAAAACGGTATCATTAGGTTTATCGACGCGTCTATTAGTAGGCAACTTATTTCGACTTATAACTTAGCAATCTTATAAAAAGTTGGTCACTTTAAAACACGTAATTTAATGGAATTAAAAGGAAAAAAATTTGGCAATGCTCTTGCACATACTTTGATTAAGATTGCGAATTTCCCCCCAACAAGCAAAACATTCGAAACATTCATATTTTTCGAAAAAATTTGATTTGCTATTGGGTCATTTTTTACGAAAAGGCGGCCAAAAATTAAATCTATATATCGATACCTCCAGATAGTAGAAGTCTCCATCATTGTAGATTGAGAATTTGTTTCCGGTTTCCAGCACCACTCCTGCCCGGTCCCAGTACACGGTAGGCAGCGGGTTGGCCGAGATGGCGCATTTTAGCCGTAGGCTTCGGCCCTCCTCCAGCTCCTTCTTGGCTTTTGGCCTAAAAAATAACAACTTTTTTAATCTTTAAAAGATTACAAGACGGATCTATAATTTTTTGACATTTTAATCTGGTCGCTTCACTTTTTGCTCAGGAATGGCATAAGCATCGATGCGTTTGTGCCATAAATTTTATGAAACATTCTACTATATATAAAAAAATAGTCTTTGTGTGTGTGTGTGTGACACTTTGCATGCAACTTCCGTCAGCGTGTTCCAGCAGTATCTCAAGAAGGGAAATACTTAGCGGTATCAGCGATACGTCATTAGGTGCGTAATGGGCTGGAGATGACTGCACACATATTAGATTTTACAAAATATGATGTTTTCGACATTAAAATCAAGTTTTTCATGGAAAATCGGACACCCCACTTTGTTAGGATCAAATTAGCATGCACCGGAAGTCGCGGCAGCCTATATAAAGGGACGGCAAGAGCATTTTTCATTTTTCGTCATCCGAATCCGGGAAAATTATGCAAAGCCAAGAATATCATTGGAGAAGACGGGGCCAGGGTTGAAAAGCCGCGAAGCGGTTTTTCAACCCTGGTATTTTTTAAAATAACATCGTAGTTTTTTTTGGCTTGCCATTCATGGACTCGAGATTTTACAATTTTATAAACGGCTTCAAACTTTATAAAACAGTCTTAAAACTAAGACGTCGAGCCTGCAAAATAAGCTATTTTTTTTTAGTTTCAGGCTAACAAGACGACGTATATTTTTTTTCGAGATTTTGATAGTCGCGTAATGCATCCAGCCCATCCCCTAAAAACCAACGCAAGTGAGCAATAAATTTGATAAAACACATTAATTTGTTGAGAAAATTGGCAAGAAAATTCTGTTACACTAATATGAAAACCTCAGGAATATTTAAACAGAAAATAATAATAAATTTGACAAAGTTAGCAAAAACTGAAAAGGATTAATTTTGAATAGATCTGGTTCAAAGTGGACGAATTGCCTAAAAATGGATGCAAGTGAAGAAGAAACTTTATAAAACATGTTTTCCTAAAGAATTCTGCATTTTAGTTATCTCTTTTATGAGTCTGGTTTTTATAGAACGACAGGAATTTAATAAAAAAGCGCTCCGAAAACCATTTTCTAAGGCAAAATTTTGAAATTTTGGGTTAAAGTCAGAACTTTCTGCTCTGCCAAATAAGCTATGTAACTATTTAAATACCCGTTTGTAAAACGTACTTGACCAGGAACTTTGGCCGACACGGCTTCCGGTTTCGATGTTGCACGGCTTGCCGGATATCATCCAAGCTGGACGGGGCCGAGTTGTCGGTCTCGTCCTTGCTGGAGGACTGCCTTTCGAGCTGTTTCTTCTTCTCATCAGCCGCCTCCATCTTCTCCTGTTGTTCCTCCTGGTTCTCGGCGTCTTCGGGGAGTTCAAACGGCTGCGAGGTGGTCGGGCTCAACAGGGCTGTCGCCATGATTGACTCGGCCAACCCCTTGGCCGCAGAACGGTGCCCAGCTATGCGTTGGCGAGTTTCTAAAAAATATATGGGTATTTATATATTACCATTAATATTTAATAAATAATTAATGAGTAAATGAATACTTTATTGAGTTGAATTAATCATATTTAAAAAACTTGATTTTTTTGATAAAGCATGGCGCCACATAAGATTAACAAAACACCTGCCACTTTTATTCGGAAAGTTAAACGAAACATTTTTTTTCGCAGCCAGTTTTGAGCTGAGAACCCGGATCTCCTCCAATAAAATTCATTAATTGGTGCTTTTGCACTATCGGGGGGAAGATTTTTCCCATAAGTGCAACTAAATATTATTATTATTGCTTTGCCTAAAGTATGTTCTGAACCAAGAGTTATGTGAAAACATGTTTCGAAAACTCTTAAAAATACCGTAAAATACATTTATGGGATTGAGAATTGATTGCAGCTGGGCGTGATTTATGAAAATTTTAACAAAAACAAAAATGTTTCGTAAAATATGAAAAATCCGAAATGAAGTAGTGATTTATTGGGATTTATGCTGCTTACAAATTTTGTAATTGAAAACTGAAATCAAGCAAGACAGAATTGGCAAAAATCTCATATTTTTTTCTGCAAACGTTCGGCTATTGGTATTTTGAAACCGCGAAGACGCCTGCAAACCTTCAATGAGCAAAAAAGCCAGATAAAAAAGCAAGTTTCAAAAAAATTCAAAAACAAGAAAAATATCTTGACCGCCAATCCGTTGGTCTCATCTTTTGCTAATAAACTTATTTGAGTTGTAACCGGGACATAAACCAAGTCCACGTTCAAAAACTCAAAAATTGATTTTTAAATATAAAAAAAATAGTGTCTGTGTGTGTGTGTGTGTGTATGCCACTTTGCATGCAACTTCCGTCAGCGTGTCCGGAGGATATCTCAAGAGGGGAAGGGATGAAGGGGCCGTATGATACGACATTAGACGCGTAATGGCCTGTAGATGACTGCACTATCAGATTTTGCAAAATCGATTGTTTTCGACATTAAAATTAAGTTGTTCCTTAAAAATCGGACATTCTCTTTGTTAGGAAAAAATTAGCATGCGCCGGAAGTGGGAGTAGCCTATATAATCAGGTAGAGACAGCTGTTTTTCATTTTTCTCATCTAAAATTCGAGAGACGAATGCAGAGTGTGGAATATTCTGGGATCTGACGGGGCCAGGTTTGAAAAGTCGCGAAGCGGCTTTTCAACCCTGGTTGATTTTTAAAAAAGGTGGTTGACCTCCTGAAATTTTGAAAATTTGGAAAATCGATGTGTCAAAAAATTTAAGGATAGACGATAATATTTGAGGATTAATAAGGCGATCGTTTGCGAAGCAAAAACTCTGACTTCTCGTCAACTGGCCAGCCACAGCAGCCGAGGCCCCGGCCTTCAGTTCCATATCCTCGAGGCCGTGTACGAACACTGGGGCGGCGCCCTTTTTACGCAGCTCTTGGCGCACCTGAAATTTTTTATAATTTAACAATGATTGTTTTACTAAGAGTCGTTAATTCATTTAAGGTTTTTTAAGGATCAATTTTTTAAAATTTTTGATGGTTTTATCAAGATATTTGCCGACTGATTTTTAATGACTCAAAATATTTGACCGGCTTTATGCAGTATATTACGTGACAACGAACGGGCCCTGCCAGAATTATTCAACGAAAAGTTTTAATGAAACACACAATTTTGAAATTTTGTTCACAAAAATGCATGGATTATTTAAGTTTCTTGGGGCCCGTATCGACCGACCCCTTGATTTTTTGATAGTTAAAAATGATAGTAAAGCTATTTTGTTCAGCACCACTAATTTCTCTAGATTGCTAGCCTGCCCTCAGGAATCTGGTCGGATTTCCGACAACAAAATTCGTTGTAATCAATTCCCTAATGGTCTCGGCTGGCATGCCTCTAATGTATTTTTTGTCAGCAGGAGTTCCATCCATTAATCAACAAAAAAAATTTTTACATTGCGACCTGGCTGAAACATATGTTTCGGCTAACTGACTATTCAGAGAATTTTATGGGATTCTATTGCACGTACCGCTGGAAATATCAAATGATCTCTGCTAGCCTGCCCCCTCCACCTCTCTCTCATCCCAAATGATCTCTGCTAGCCTGCCCCCTCCCCCTCTCTCTCATCCCAAATGATCTCTGCTAGCCTGCCCCCTCCCCTCTCTCTCATCCCAAATGATCTCTGCTAGCCTGCCCCCTCCCCTCTCTCTCATCCCAAATGATCTCTGTTAGCCTGCCCCTCCCCCTCTCTCTCATCCCAAATGATCTCTGCTAGCCTGCCCCCCTCCCTCTCTCTCATCCCAAATGATCTCTGTTAGCCTGCCCCCCCCCTCTCTCTCATCCCAAATGATCTCTGCTAGCCTGCCCCCTCCCCCTCACTCTCATCCCAAATGATCTCTGCTAGCTTGCCCCTCCCCCTCTCCCAAACCCAAATTGTCTCTGCCAGCTGACCTGTGAGGCGCTTCTATGCTGTTTCGGTTGATCCTCATCATCAAATGCCACTCGGGGCATAACAGATACTTCTTCTTCGACAGACGGTAGATATTCACGGAATTCTGGGGGGATGGCGTGTCGGGGTTTTCCGACGTTGAGTGACGCATTGGTGCGCAACAGGCCGTGAGCGTTCGATGCCTCGACACTGTAGACGCCGAGATCCAGAAGGGATACCTGAAAAATGGTGATAAAGAACGTAAACTCATGTGCTTGCCTTCCACGGTCCTTTAAAACGTTTTTTGGGCGCTTTTCAAAGTCATTTAATGGAATAAGCTGATTAGCTACTGCGTTTCGGAAAATTGGTTTTAATAATTTAGGTAATCAGGAACGAAGAATCTTAAAGATGAAAAAACGATGTTTTGGAAAAATTCATGCTCCGCCCTTGGAAAACAAGCTTAATTACGTTGATGTGACTCACTACGCTAGAAATACCTAAATCCTACTATATATAAAAAAATAGTGTCTGTGTGTGTCTGTGTGTGTGTGCCACTTTGCATCCATTTCCGTCTGTCTGTCCGGAGGATATCTCGCTAGGGGATGAATTTTAAAGGACGTATGATACGTCATTAGGTGCGCATTGGTCTGGAGATGACTGCACGCATTTTAAATTCAACAAAATCACCTATTTTCGACATTAAATTTAAGTTTTTGTGAAAACTTCTTTGTTAGGTATAATTAGCATAGACCGGAAGTTGGGATTCGACGATATAACGGGATCAGAGAGGTTGTTTTTCCTTTTTTGTCGTTTGAATGCAGGACAATTATGCAAACTGAAGGATAAAATGGGGTCAGACGGGGCCAGGGTTGAAAAGTCGCGAAGCGGCTTTTCAACCCTGGTTTAGGATAATAACAAAAAACTTTTCTAAAAATTTCCTTTACCGACGAAAAATTACGATCGATAATTCAACTCGGAAAGAACCCCAAAATGGCTCAAGATTTCCCCAAAAAAACCCGACGTTTCGACAAATTACATATTTTGGCTAAAAATCACCATCGACAATCACGATGGACAATGGAATACAGCTGACGTAACGTGGCTCAAAACTTTCGGCTTAAAGCAATGTTTTTGAAAAATTCATTCTATGAAATTCGTGTGAATAAACGCGTGAAAGAATGGTAATAATGCGAAAAATGCAGATAAAGCGATGTTTACCAAATTGAGACTCGGCGCTTAAAAAAATATTCTAATTGTGTTCTACTTGTTTGGCGCTTCAAAAATATTCATAATGCAGTGCGCAAACACTCATAAAAATAAAAAATCACAAAAAAGCTTCGACAAATTACATACTCTCGCTACAATTCCATACTCTATTCAGCCCCAGGACGGAAAAACTGGAACACTTGGCAAAACCGTTAAAAATCAATGTTTCGGCAAAGGCCTCATCATGCCAAAAAAGTTTGAGAGTAATTAGTAGTTTTCGTAGAAAAATAAAAATCCATACCTTCTTGATGCGCAGCTCGCACTTGTTGTCGCTGACGTACTTGATCTGCACGTCGCGGCCCTCGCGTACCAGGTTGTCGTTGTGTAGCCATCTGAAAAATGGGACTTTTTAACGCTAGCTATTGTTTATTCGGTTTTGCCTAATTACGCCCAATTAATCAAAATAATTGCAGTTCGGTGCAAATTTCTTTGAAACATTTTTTTATGACAAAAAATACCTAGCAGCCGGATATTAAATCTTTCAAATGATCTCTGCTAGCCTGCCCCCTCCCCCTCTCTCTCATCCCAAATGATCTCTGCTAGCCTGTCCCCTCCCCCTCGCTCTCATCCCAAATGATCTCTGCTAGCCTGCCCCCTCCCCCTCTCTCTCATCCCAAATGATCTCTGCTAGCCTGCCCCCTCCCCCTCTCTCTCATCCCAAATGATCTCTGCTAGCCTGCCCCCTCCCCCTCTCTCTCATCCCAAATGGTCTCTGCTAGCTGCATTCTAGAAAGTTATGTAAGGCTCCCTGGCAGCTCCGGATTAAAAGCCTTGCAACCAACTAGTTAATGAATTTTTATGAAACATTTTTTATAAAAATTTTGCGAGGAAGTCAAAATTTTCCCCAAATTCTCTCCGCTAGCTTGCCCACCTCAATTCCGGCAGCGGGAATCCAGCCGTTTCCACTTCAAAAACAATCTCTTGTCCAAGCGGTGTCCAGACATCCCTTAGACATTTGATGAAACGCGGTGGCCCAGCCGGTCTATCGTGTAGCTCTCCGACCAACAAATAGCATTGTGTTGACGATTCTCCGTAGCGATTGGACGCTACGCATTGATACGTGCCCTGCTGGTTACGGTATACGCGTTCGCATTTCAGCTCCGCCTGGTCACCGCCCGAGCACTCGATCCAGCCTGAAAGCATGGTATTTTTTTCATACCTTTTCTATATTTCAATTTAAATTTGGAGTATTTCAATTTAAATTTAATTAAAAGACAATTTTTGACTTTTTAATCGGCTTATGATTCTATATTGGTACTGGATTGTTAACGGGGGGCAGAATTTTTTGTTTGCTGCGCTGATGAGCTAAATCGACCAAAAGAGAGCGCCAATTATATACCACAAATTGGTCCGAAATAGGCAAATACTTGAAACATATTTTTTCCTCGGAAATTTGCAGATTCGTTGTTTGAGGTCAAAATTCTCCCTTTCTAATTTTCCAGTCGTTTTGCATACGGTAATGTGCAAATTTCATTAATTTTTTAACATTTTTGTCTTTCAACCCCATTTTAAATGCTTTGTAATTATATACGTTTTGGAATATGCATGGAGGCCAGAATCACGAGAGGCGAATTCCGCTGAAATAGCTAGGAGCTTGAAACATTTTTTAATAAAAATGAGGTCGATCTTGTTCTGAAAAAAGCTGCGATAACTGTATCGAATTAGTCGACAAGCAGCGATTGCTGAAACTGCTAAAAATTGGCACGATATTTACGAACGTTCGAAACATTTTTTGGCAATTTTCTTCAGAAACTTTTCGAAACTTATTAATCATCGCATCCGCCGTCCTAAATAGGATATTATGTTTAATTCTAGCATTATCGCGTTTTTAAACAATTTTAATTATTTAATTTTTGCCCTTTTTCAGAAATATTGATGACCAGGCTGCTCAGCTTATTAAAAAATCTAAAACGCAAAGAAATCGTCACCGGCGTGAAACCTTTTTTTTTGATAGTAACGATATATTTATTTTAAGAAACGTAATACATTCTTTAATAATTAATTAAAGTATTACCCGTGGGGACGTGGTTGAGGCAGATACGTCGCATGTTGTCGTCTTGGAAGTACCACTTGATCTCCGGCTCGGGGACACCTGGAAATGGATTTTTAGCTCTTTTATTTAAGGGAGCGTGAATAATTATTGTCAGACCGCTACCTAGGTGTACTAACTTTTTTGAAACTTTTCATTTTTAAAATTTTGCCACAAATTTGGTGCTTTCGTTTCTATTCGAATCTAATAATTAATCATCTATAAATATTGATTTTCATAAATCTGCATTGCGTTCAATTAATTATATTCTAACCAGAATGCAAATCCCATTATCTAGAAATATCCCTGACGTTTGGGGAATTTTCAGGAAACATTTTATTCGGATCGACTCGGTTTTTTGGGGTTTTAAGTCGAAAAATTACGTTTATTTTATATTTAAACGAGCGCCCAAAACCCGCTTCGCTTCGCTTTGGGCGCTGGAATCATGCCTTTGCATGAGAAATTTGACTTTCCGATTGCTCGGGTCCTTCGGACCCCTCCCCTCCCCCGACCAAACTCGCGAGTGCGACTGTCAAGAATGAGTAAATTTCTATTTTTTCACATTATGCAAATTAGCTCGCGCGGATCCCCAAAAATGAATAAAACCGGCTTTAACTTTGTAAACTTGTATTTTATGAAAATTCTGAGAATGCCATCGGAAACAGAAGGGTCGATTCCCCAGGGTGACGGAGAATTAGGGGATTTTGGACACGGGAAGGTCCTCAAATCGGGCCTCGAAAGTGACATCCGCACACACACACACACACACACACAAAGATACGCGACCAAATTATATAAGGTAGGATCTAGAAAGTAATAAAGAGAAGCTAAATCTAAAAAAATTACAATCTACAGACTACAAAACGTTCCGCTACCTTTGACTTTGCAGTTGAGGGTGCACGGGTGGCCGGAAACGACGCCCATATCCCGCATCGGCGTCAAAAACACGGGCGCGCAGTTTTCGATGATTTTCGCCGTGCCGCGCTGCACGATCACCTGAAAAATAAAGATGTTTGATCAATAAATAATAATTACGTAATGGCGTGATTGGTATTGATAGCATAAATTAGGGACAGGACATTTGTGATCCACTAACGCCAAAATGCTACCCAATTTTTAGGTTTTGGACGAAACATTTTTTTTGCAAGTTGCATTTACGCTATTAAAGGGATACCCAAGGTTTTGGCGGCAAATATATAGTTATGGATTCCGGGCAGTACAAATGACGCGCGAATTTTGTGCGGCAATGGCGGACCATTGGCTTGCCACTCTGGCCTAATGGATAGTATCCAGGTCCACAAAGCGGGGGGGTCCCGGGTTCGACCCCCGCCCGCTGAATGGTTTTTGCCTGTTGAGCCCCGAAAAGGTTGGGCATCCCTTTAATAACCACGTAATCTTTTGTATTTATGGTAAGGACTTATTAAAAATGGCTGAAACTATAATTGCCATTTTTCATTCTATTTTACATTTCTATTTCATTTTCGACCCCTGAATTCAGCCTGGTTTAGCATTTTTTGGCGAAACATGCAAGCGCATCTCATAGTGATTTTTATGTTACCCGAAATTCGATAAAATACGCTACTGGACGAGATAAACCCGAAAACGGTTAATTAACCGATAATAAAAATGAACGATTTAAGTTTTTGGTGTACATCAAAAACACAAAAACGGTATTGATCATCGAATTCGAGAACATCCTGCTATTCACATGAAACATTTTTCGTACAATTTTTTAAGGTTTTACGTTCATATTGGCCAACTGTAGTGCAACGGGGCTTTTAAGATGCCTTTTATCTTTATAATGATTTTCTGATAGAAAGAGTTTCGTAAAAATTCTGATTTTGCATTTTTTTGATGATTTAATCGGGGAAGAAAGTTTGTTTTTCGATTAACACGGCGTACTAAATGCTAACCTGTATCTTTATTATATTTTATACCCTTAAGTTTACTATAATTCATATATTTTAGATCGTTCAATCAAATGTTTCGAAAAGTTTCGGAGTTATCGGTTGTGAAGGTAACTTAATTTATTCTGGGTTTTCGTTTTTTCAGACCTTGACTCCAAAAAAGTGCAGTATTTTAGTTATTAAACAAAAAATTAAAATTATTAAAATATTTACATACCTGGGTCTCGACAACAGTCTGTCCCTCCGAATTCTCGGCAATGCACTGGAAAATGCCGGACGTCTTCTGGACGACGAAATCGATTTGCAGATGGGCCTCGAATTCGCCGGTGATGTAGTGTTGGTACATTCTGTTAGTGCGCGAAATGTCTTTTCCATCCTTTTTCCACGTGATACGCGGCTGGGGCTCGCCGATTGCCTGAAAAAAAAATAACGATTTTTTTACATTTAAAACGGGGTTTTGATTTTTAAATCTAAGGCAAACTAGATTTAAAATTCAAATTCAGCAATTAATAGTCTTTTTGACATTTTTAGGACGCGTGAAAGCTAGTATCGTCTAAAGACCGCCTTAGAAAATATGAAAAGCGAAAAATTATTGTGAAAGAAAAACGGTGTTCCACCAAAATTAATTGTCGCCGTACGTGGAATTTTCGTAATGAAACATCCCATACAAGTGACCATGCAATTAAAAAGGCTTTGAAGGCTCAAAAGCCAACAAAACAATTTTAAAGGGCCGTTGAAGTCAGAATTTCATTTTAAAAAGACCCTAACTGACATTGCAAAAATTTCATAGGGCAAAGATTATTTGATTACGGCATTCTTATAATTTCTAGGCCCATTGCAGGCAAAAGCTACATGGAATCCATATTAAACATCCGATTAAATTTTTCAAGACCGCCTAAAGCCGAAAAAAAAAATGTGTTTTAATTTATGGACATATTCGGTAAATTAACCTTATCCAATAATAACACCCAGGCCAAGAATCAATTAAAACTGAATTAAAATTGGCATCAAAATAGGTTTTTTTAATATCCATGGAAGCCAAAAGCTGGCTTTAAAGGACCATTGAAGCCAAAATCGGCCAAAAATGAAATAGAACAGAATAAAAATCAAAATTCGGCTTAGACTGGTATAAAATATCGATTGAAATCCACATTTTTGGGTTTTAAAGGACCACTGAAGTAAAAACTAGTCAAAAATGCAATGAAAGTGAACAAAAATATTAAGCTTAGATTTGTTTTAAAAATCGAATTTACCCCAGATTTTTGAATAAATAAAAATGAAAATTGAGATTAAAATGGATGACAAAAATGGATTAAATTACCACTGCAGGTACAAAAAAAAATCGGTTTCAAAGGTCACTTAAAGCCAGAATTAAGCCTTAAAGGATGATTGACGTCAAAAATCAGTTTTAAAGGACCATTTAAATCGAATCCAAAGACCCACCTTGGCAACGAGCATAACCGTCGACCCCTCCGCAGCATCGATTAGCGAGGCCGGGGCCCGGATGAATTTCGGCGGCACGCGCTTATCGCTCAGAACATCAGCCAGCACGAGATGAGCATCAGGCCCGGTCGGTTCAGCAACAAACACCAGACACTGGCTCGACTCGACGCCGAACTTGTTGGAGGCGGTGCACAGGTACACGCCCGTGTCCTCGTCCGACATGTCGGCAATGGTCAGCGTGCACACGCCGTTCTCCCCGAATTGCAGGCGCTGGCGTCTGAAAATGGAAATTCTTGGAATTTTTTTTTGGAGAATTAAAATAGCATTTTCTCAAAATCTTATAATTAAATCAACTATTGATCGATGAATTATCTCTCACAAAACAAAGCGTAATGCTTAAAAATTCTAAACCAACTTTTTTATTTTTTCTTATTATTTGTGTACTTGTGTATATGTATTTAACGTTACAGCACTGAATTCTGAATTTTGGAATTGTTTTAGAATAATAATTCGATATTTTTTGGTTTACGGCCAATTATATCCTAGAAAATAACCCGGATTACCTAACAAGTCGAAACATTGAATTTTGACGAAGGCCTTCCAATATTTAATTTTTTTTCAATCTTTTCCTACAATAGTTTTACAATTAAAATTCAATATATCATCCAAAATTAAAATAGGTGGCCAAGATCTGCTATTATAAACCATCTAATTTGTACAATTATGCAAAAATCAGAAGCAATGAATTTTGGCGACGATTTTGTAATAAACATTTTTTAAGAATTTTTTTACATCACTGAAAATCCAAGTCTTTAGAATCGATTTACGAATTCGAATGTTTTACACCAAATCCAGATCCCAGGACAAGATCATGGAACGATGGTCGATTATTTTGCTGTATTATCTATACTTTTTAAAAAACGTAAAAAAATCGGTTTCATAAAATTATAAATCGCCGAGGTAATTCAAATCCTTCAATGGAATATTGATCTCGTTCAAAACTTTTGCAAACCTAATAATGATGACTTAATGATAGTTTTACCGTACCTGGATGTATTGATACGAATTCCATCCTTCATCCAGAGTACCGTTGGCTCGGGGTGCCCGGAAATTCGGCATTTCAGGGTGATTTCATGGCCGGATAGGGCAGTCTTGTCGACCAATCCGGATTCAAATCGGGGCGCGTGCTGCTCCTCGGCGTCGTGAACGTCTACACGACACTCCGACACGGCGACACCGACCTGAAAAAATCGTCCGTAAATTAGCTAAAGCTTCGTCAAATAATCCCTGAAAAACTTCTTTAAATTGACGCAAATTAGAATTTATAGAAAACCTTTTCGCCGAAATTGAAACGATTAAATTAAAATGATACCAAAAAATTAAAAGCATGAAAAACAGATGAAGTCTCCAATTCGTGTTGGCCTCACAAAACTAATAGAATTTATTTTTCTAGCATTTAAAAAGCTCGGATCAATTAACATTTATTAAAATTTAACTTAAATATTCGTAGTTCAAAATTTTGAGCAGGGTAAGGTTTGAAAATCTCGGTGAATGCGTGCGGTATCTATGTGCTATTATTTCAAGCATCGCTGACGTAACTAGCCAAGGATATGAAACGTCAAAATTCTAAAATCCAACAAAAGCTATGTTTTAAAAACTTATACCGTATGTAAATCGAACAAAAGAAGCTTAGCCGCTAATCCTAAACCCATCATAAAAATAGCTTAATAATTTTCAAATATTTCATTACAGGCCATATCCGGCGCTAAATCAGAATCTGGGAATTCTACTTTCATTGGCAAAAACTACCATCGCCCATTTAGCGAATGCCATGAAACTTTGTAATTTTTGCGGGGTGAATAAAAGGGATGTGATTATAAATCATTAACAAGTATTTAATTAGAGTAAAAAAAAAAAATAATCATTACAGAACCAAACCGAATTCACAAATTCTGACAACCCGGTTCAGGCAATGGGATGAAACTTCAAAATTTCATATGAATTTTAAAATCTCATTTTGGGGGTAGGGTAACTGGACTAAATATTTCATTAATTTTCTGACCTCATTCTCCACGACGCATCTATAGACACCGGCGTCGGTGGCCTGGGCCGAGTGGCAGATCAGACGATGCAGACCGCCGGCGGAGATCTTCTCGTAGCGACCGGCCGCCGGGAGGCGTTCGTTGTCTAAAACAATAAGAAAAATTAGCATAAAAATAATGTACAAATAATAATAATCGACATAATGGTAAAATGTTTATAAAAAAATTTTTGAAAAAAAATGCTTCAGCGACGAGGCATAAAAAGATATGGATTTCGGTTGATAATGGGCTGTAAATCGGTCATGAAAAAACTAAAACTAAAAAATTTAGGTGTCTATAAGATGTGCTTCATCACAAGATCCTAGTTTAAATAGCTGATAACAATCCGATATTCTAAGTATTAGAAATTTCTATATCGAACTATTAAGTAAGGGTGTTTCGTCGAAAGCACACTAAATTTTTAAATTGGGTTGTTAATAATCGGTAATCACCAATAGCCGGAATTTAACAAAAAAAGGCAAAAGAAGCTCAGTGCCTAAAGAATAAGTTTAAAATTATTGTTAAAAAAAGCTTTTGACAATATTGCATTAAACGTATTAAAATTCGATATGCAATTTGCAGGAAAAAAATGTAGCGCAAAACGGGCATGAAATTTTTTTTAAATCTCGTTTAATCAATGCTAACGTAACAAAAAATCTTTATAAAAATAATTTTTGCGCGCAAGTATGAAAAATTAAGGCCGCCATATTTACTTCCGTACCTTTAAACCACGAAACATCTCCCTGGGGCTGGGCGGCGATCTTGCACGCCAAGCTGAACGTCTGGCCGGCCGTCACCGTCTCGTTGTTCAGCTCCTTGCCGACAATTGGCGGGCCCTCCCGAGTTTTTCGCGTCATCAGCGGGCTCTCTGGAAAATAGGTTATACCGTAGTTTGGACCGCACTTCCTGACGCTGAATTGTCAAATTAAAACCGCCAAACACCCATATTTTAGGTGAAACATATTTGCCAAAAAATTTAATTTTGGTAAAACTAATCCGCGAAAATGGATTTAACAATAAAATTTTGCCCTCCATCTTCCTCTCTAAAAAATAGAATTCTTAGTTCCATCTAGTTTTTTTTGTGGATAATCGATGCGACCCTAATAATCAAAATATATCTGTTCAGGCTTGTCGAAAATGAAACATGCTATTCGAAACATGCTTGATTCTAGCTTGAGTGAACGACCATATTTTACGTGGAGTCGAAATTTGCATGACAAGGCTGTGAATAATCTTGAAGGGATAGGCAAGTCGTTGCTTGGGCGCGACGCAACGTCTAGGTTATCTTGTCATTTTTTCTCAGTGGTGGATGCATTACCATCTATCATCATTAATTAAAAGCTGCTATATGGCTTCCCTTTAGAAACCAATTTTCGTAACTAATGTTTCATCAATGCTTTACCGTGCTTTACGACGTTTTACTACTGTTATCAATATGGCTATCATCGGCTTCTTTATAGTCAAAATACCAGTAAAAAAAATTCTTTTTGTCAACAATATTTATAATTATTGGCTCCGTTTATTAGCACTTAATGTGGCTGTTAAGGTTACTGCGATTTATGATTTGAATGCTGCTATAAGGAAGAACGAAACACTGCGAAACAATTTTTAGAAAATGAATCTTTCACAAAGGTTTCATCAAACCAAAAAAATTTAACAATTCAGTTTCAATTCAATTCAGCCGTTAACATACATTTTCACTGTGTTTGTGTGGGTAAAAATTGCGGTTCTTTAACGGTTTAAAATTTTTCTCAAATTTTTCGAATGTCGTTAGTCAGTGATTCCATTCATTGATCCACGTAAATTCGGTTCGGAGTTGAGTAGATTAGTTCAGTAGAAAAATTCTCACATTTTTTGACGTAATGTTTCACCAATATACCATAAAACTTGGTAGCACGCATTAACATTAACATGTGGCTAGTTCATTCCAAAGTCATAGGAAGATTTAGCCCGGAAACGAATCAGAGTTTTTCAAAAAATGTTGTAAGACAAAAAAGTAAATTCCAATGCGGTCTAATTGTGTTTTCCACTGAAAACTCTTCCGAATTTCAGAAAAATTTAAATTTTTTTGAAAAATATGTTTCAGCAATTTTTCACTAGCCGTCGAATTTTAGAATTTTAATAGAAACGGCTCAGTCTGGACAAAAAAATCTCACCTGTTGGCTGTGAGTCCTCCTTTTCCTCAGCCGCCTCCTTGCTCTTCTTGGTCTTCTTCGGCTTGACTTCATCCTTACCCCCCTCAGCCTGAGCTTCAGCCTTCTTCGGCCTAGCCTCCTCGGGCTTGGCCTCGATTTTCTAGCTTCAGCGGCTAGGGGAGCCTCAGGTTTGCCAGTTTCCGATTTTTCCGGAGCAACTTTTCCGGAAATCGAGATGGCGACTTCACAGCTGACGTGGCCGGCCTCGTTTTCGATATGACAAGCGTAGGTCCCGGCGTCTTCGGATTTGATGGCGTCATGGATTATCAGACGCGCCACCCCGGCTTCCGGCTCGTTTTGAAGCCGCACACGCAGACCGTCGATCATCTGGTGACCGGTACGGTACCTGGAAATTGATGAATTTCTGTATATGCTTAAATATGCTAAAAATAATTTTGAACCAATTTTTCGTAAGTTTAAGAATCGGTTATCGATGCCCGGTTACAGTCTCCCCGGAAAGTAGGAATTTCTTGGATTTGCTAGGCTATTTATTATTTTGAAAGATCAGCTTAGATTTTTAATTTTTTAATTTTTTAAATTTATTTAAATTTATTAAAAAGAAAAGGGTTTTGCATGTTTCCCGAATTTTCAAAAAATTAAAGCCATATTTTAGGTTTTTCTGAAAAACGGAAAGAGATGCTGCCTTGGATCCATAACATTCGAAATTTCGCAGGATCGTAATATTCAGCATTTTACAAGAAGCACTATTAGCATTCGTGAAACATTTTTTCTTCTCGAAAAATCATTGGTTCGAATGGAGATATGTTCGAATCTATGGATGTTTCAACAACTCTCAATCCGAATTTAGTTATCTGTCCACTAATTACTCCTCGACTTTAACGACCTGCTTCAAACGAACGACCTTCTAAAATGATTTTTAAAGGTACAGCTACACCAAGGCGGGCTAGCAAAGATTCTTTAAAAGGCCAATTTAACACGGTTTTAAAGGCCTAAGCCAAGCCTAAGCCACCCCTAAGCCACGCCTAAGCCAAGCCTAAGCCAAGCCTAAGCCAAGCCTACGCCAAGCCTAAGCCAAGCCTAAGCCAAGCCTAAGCCAAGCCTAAGCCAAGCCTAAGCCAAGCCTAAGCCAAGCCTAAGCCAAGCCTAAGCCAAACCTAAGCCAAGCCTAAGCCAAGCCTAAGCCAAGCCTAAGCCAAGCCTAAGCCAAACCTAAGCCAAGCCTAAGCCAAGCCTAAGCCAAACCTAAGCCAAACCTAAGACTAACCCTAAGCGAAGCCTAAACAACACCCACCATTTGACCTTCGGCGCGGGTTCTCCCGAGTACTCGACGACCAGCTCGATCTTGTCGCCCTCAGCAGCGGAAACCTGGGCCGAAGGCGCCTTCCGGATCGTCGGCTTCTCAGCCGTCGTGTCGGTCTTCACGGTCATCTTCATCTGGGCCCACGCGCCGTGTTCTCGCGCGTTGCGTGCGCGTACGCGGAAGAAGTACTCGGTGTTTGGCTCCAAATTCCGGATTTTTGCCTCGCAGTCGATCGTACGCGCCGCGTCCGTCCAGCTGCGGCGATCCGGTTTCCGGAGTTGTACTTCGTAGTCGGCGATCTGAACATGTTTTTTAATTTATAACCAGGGTTGAAAAGCCGCTACGCGACTTTACTTTTATCATAGTTAAACATTAAAAAATATATCTTAAAAAATTTAAGATATCTCAAAAAACATTAGAAATTAAAGATTATTTGATAAATTTATTCGATTAATATTAAAATTCTGATTTTATTATGAAAGCTGTGAAAATGAGAAATTACCAGGAACTAGAGAAATTCGATGACAACTGTATCTGTTGTTCTGCGAAACCTTCATTTTGCAAAAGCTGTTGAGGTTCTTTGGCATTACGGGGGGGAGGTGAGAAATTTTTTGTATAAATTTACAAATGCTTATTACAGTAATGTTAAGTATTTATCTTTAGTAGAAAAATATCTCTATTACGACCAGAAAAACCATCGAAAAAATTTTTAAATCTAAAATTAGAAGTTTTGGCCAAAATGCGATAGCTAACCAATGGAAAATGATGCGAAAAACCGCCATTTTTAATCGAAGAAACCGCTATAAACTCTGGGGTTTTCATAAAAAATCTTTCTGTAAACATTCGCTACTGGAACCGGAATGCTTCCCCCGTGGGTATCTCAAATAAATTAAATTAATGAAATTGATTAATTGTTTGGATAAAGCCTAATTTTAATGGAAACAGGCTTAATCTACGCTTAATTCGATTAAAATAATTAAATCTGATTTCAACGTATCGTTTTCGCTTTTTCATGCGTTTGTCGAAAATGTTTCATCAAAAATTTTATATCAATCGAAAAATGTTTCACAAATGCTTGATATTCGGTTGGTTTTAGAGTGGTAATTTTGCCACTATTGAGTGAATTTAGAACTAATTTTGTTATTCTCATCGAATCTAGCAAAGATTTTATTAAATTTAATAATATAATTTAATTTATTACCTGTGATCCTCCATTTTCCTTCGGCTCGCTCCACCCGAGGGACACGGATTGTGTGGTGGTGCCGTTGAGCACGAGATCCTCCACCAGACCCGGGGCTCCCTTCTTCTTTTCCTCATCCTTTTCTTCAACCTTTGCCTTCGGCTTCTCCTGCTTTTCCTCCGCTTTCCGGGTCACCTAAAATATTTTTGGTTGACGGCATGTTTCAAAAATTCGTGAAGTACCGGATTTTTTTTCACTAGCAATCTAGTGTATATGGCGATGACCCTCAATACTAATTTTAATTCTTTTCTGAAGCGCGCAAACATCGAAACATGGATAAGAAAAATATTACCAAAAATGTGTTGTAAACGCTTCTGGGGATTTGGCTAGAAGTTATTTCGCAATTAATTTAAAAAAGCTTAAAAAAATTAAAACAGAAGTAGCGAACAGCCGGGAAAACGAAATGCTAGGAGCTTGTTTCAGAGAAACCTATATCAAGTATCAACTGCCCGTTTTAACACTGAATTCACCTACAACATTATAAACATTTTTTTTTTTGTATAAATCATTTTTATTTTTGTTGTATAACAACAACAAACATTCAGCACATTGACACACCTACACCGAATAAAATACCGTACTACTAAATTTGAATTTAGTAAAATTACTATGCATACAGGATGCCGGAAACGAAAATGTTCGTAAGCGGTTTTTAGAGCAACGAAACGATGTTTCAAAAAGAGGTTAGCTTAACGAAAGAATTATATCACGTACTCATTGCATCGCGGCAAAACGTGTAAATAATGGTTTTGACAGTATCCTTACGGATTTCTTAGATTAAAAAACATGCTTCATAAAAACACCATCTGAACGCCGGAAATATGTGTTCTAATACCTCCTAATGTTTCTCTTTGCCGGACTTCTTAAAACCAGCGTGCAAAAAAATGTTTCAACAAAGTTTCGCGCAAAAAAAAAAATAATAACGTGTAATCGGCAGTCGACACAAGGTATCGAAAAATTTTTGCCTAGATATCAGATTTTCTCTGATTTTTATCGTATCCTTGTATTTTCTAAAAATCATACCTGAACCTCAGTGTCGTGCTGAATTTTGCCTCTTTCATTTTCCGCGAGGATACGGTAGCTGCCAGCGTCTTCGAGCTGCGCGTTGGAGATGATCAGCTGATGGCTCAGCCCCTCGCTCAGGGCCAGGATCCGCTTGTCCGTACGTAGGGGTTGGCCGTCCTGAACGAGGGTGTTTTTAATTTTACAATTTTAGTTCCTGATTAACAACAAATATTAATTATCGTATATTTAGTTCATAAAATGCAACATCTACGTAGCTTTGCAAATTTCCTGCAAGAAAAATTCTTCCCATTATGTGCAAAAATCCAAAGCAATATTCCGAGTTGGCTGAAACATTTTTTCCGATTCGGCAAAAAGGATGCGATTTTAATTAACTTTATTTTGTTGGCTAAATTAAATAGCATATTACAGGGAAATGACATTTTGCGCGAAGAAAAGCTAGTGATTGGCATCGCTAAGTTGAAATATCTTTGGTAGTTTTGATGAAACACTAAATTCTTCAGTACCGCTTTGATTTATGTGTAAAACTTATTTTTAAAAAATTTGTGCAAATTATAGGTCTAACGATTTTAAAAATTACATTTAAAGTTCTGAAAGCGTAAAGATGAAATCAAAAAAATCCAAATAAAATTTGTACAAACATAAATCAACCTTTGGTTTTCGGTGCTATTAATGTTATGTTTCAAGAAAAATACCCTTGCAATGGAAACGAAGCTGGATATTGCCTTCCAGTAATGCATTTCGCGATATCTGATCTAATTCAATAATTTTTATGTATTACTTAAGAATTTTTTTGTAAAGGAGAATTTTATACTGAAGTTACTTGAGGAACAACTGCATCATAAAAGTCGTAATGACCCTGTAATTTCGTCGAAACATCATGTTCTTCGGTGCCGACTTTGACTAATGCAATATTGTTAACTTATTTAAATAACTTTTAAAAGGCCATGTAGTGTTTTTCAAATCTAAAATACTGAAATTAAAACATCATGGATAAATTTGGAAATCTAAAAAATAAATATTTGGAAGAAAATCTTAAAATGTTTCAACCTTTTACAACGCTAGCGAAACCAGGGATTATCTAATAAGTACTTCGTTTGGATTCACAATTGTGATTTTAAAAATTTTGTTGAACGTAAGTTTCCCGAATTTTACCTTATCAACGATTATTTTAACTGTACAGCTACTTTTTAGTTCGATTAAATCAAAATATGTTTCTCTTTTCTAATTATGGCAGTTTTTCTGCTCTAATTAATTTTTTTATAACAATAATCTTTTATTTTTTATAGTTTGATAAATTTAACTTTTAAGTTTCTTTAATTTCTTTACTATATTCATTTAAAATTTTCTAAAGTAAGAACAATAAGTCACCTTTAGCCAAGTGATATCCGGCGTGGGGGTGCCATTAATGTCGCAAAGAATGTTCAGCACTTGTCCCTCTTCCACGACCATCTTCTTCTTGGGCTCGACGATGAACGCGGGCAGGATGGCTTTGGCTTTTTCCTTGCGCTCGGCCAGTGATACCTAGAAATATCAATTATTTATGCAAATTTTCCCGACTTGCGGTATTTGATGCAATTTGCTAAAATGCTGCATTGATAAAAAAGATGAAGTTTGTTGTTAATTCTTTATGGAACCTCGTTTCGGACAAAATTTTAACGAAATCTGTGTCAAGAGAATTGCGCTGGCGTAATTTTACTTTATTTTTAATTCTATCCGCAACACTAATTTTTGAGAATTTTGGGACGTCGCTTTCCAAGAGAAAGATGTATTGTAGAATTTAAATTTTTAAAAATATGAAAGCGTAGTGAATGTCATAATGCGTTACGGAACGAAGTGGGGCGTCCGCGTTGTGGCGCAGCATTTTACCGGAACCACAACATAATCTTGCCTTACCAACTGCTTTAAAAATACTTACCTGAGCCGAGGTATGCGCATCACCAAGCGGGTTCGTCGCCACAGCTGTGTACACGCCGCAGTCGTCGGGGCCGCAGGAGACGATCTCCAGCGTGGCCGTGCTGTCGTCGAAGGTACGCGTGCGTACATTTTCGTTGCCATGGATCGCCCGCCCATTGTGCAGCCAAACGATCTCCACGGCCGGCTCGCCCTTGGCCTGCAAAAATTTATAAAATTAAGATAAATAGGATGAAAAGACTAGGAAAATAGTATGTTTCAAATACTTATAAAAACAAAAAAATCGTCCTCAATTTTAATAAAGTCAAATACATGTATTTAAAAAATCCATGTGGTTGGAAATGAAATATTAATTTTTAATTTTCTATTTGCCGTACTTATTCATTATGGATCATACATCATGAATCGCCTGAGAACTCTATACGATTCGAAACATATTTTTCAAACGAAAAATATGGTGTTTTGGCCTCTACAAATCCATGTTTCATGTCGTTGACCTTTTCAATGGATGTTATATTCTGTTTAGTTTGCACTAGCTGTATAATGCAAACCAATGGAAACTTTCAGAAGTTCAATTAGGCAAACTCCGCACCTGGCAAGTGAGTGTGACTCCATCGCCCTCCTTGGCTACTTCCACATCCTCGAGCTTCTTCACGAATTTCGGCATGTCCTTCACGTGGTCATCTTCTGTCACCTGGAAAATTTTGAATTGGGGCAGGCTAGCGGAGACACTTTGGGAAATGTATTTTATCCCTTAAAAATATTAGATCTGGAAAAAAAATTTTCTGACCAAAAGACTCTACATCAGTCTGGGGATTATGAAACGGATGATGTAACTGGTTGAAACGTAATTTTCTAACTTTTTCTGATTATATGATGCCCCTTCCCCCTCACTCATCCCAAATGATCTCTGCAAATGGAGCCAGATCGGGGCTTTTCAAATTCAAAATTGAGAAAAATAAGAGGAAAAAATGAAAAACGAAAACTGTTATTGCTGCTCTCGGACGTCTATTATGCCGAACACTACCACGAAATTTATAGGATTAAAACGAAACATGGTTTTCAGAAAATTTTTCTACTGGCTCGCGTTTGACGGCTTCGAAGTTATGAAATTTCGAGCTCATGTAATTTCGGCCAAATGAAATTTAGCTATGCGAAATTTCGACTGAATGAATTTCGACGTTATGAAATGCCGACAATTCGAAATTTCGACAATTGGAAATGACGACATTACGAGTTTCGGCGGTGTTATAAAATTTCGGTATCATAAAATTTCGACATTCTCAAGTTTCGTATTATAAAATGTCGGCGCTACCAAGTTCGGCATTTTTAGATGTCCTGATTAAAAATGCGACATTAAGAATTCCGACATCTTGAAATTTTGCAAGTATAAAGTTTAGCTTTAGACTGTTGAATTCTATTTTTATTTTCCAAGAAAACGCACCTGTTTCGCGACCGTAAGCACGGCTCGACTCTCGACAGTTCCGGCTCGATTCGCCACCCGGCATACATATTCGCCAGCATGCTCCTCGTTCGCTTCGTATATTTTCAGGAACGCCACTCTTCCGTCAAAGTACGTGCGTAGCAGGCGACTCTCCGACACGAGCTTCCCATTACGGTACCACTCGACGGAGGGGGCCGGCACGCCCGAGACTTCAAGTTCGAGCAGTTCGCGATTTCCCTCATATACGGTGGTGTCGGTCAGGGGGGCGGGTGATGACGGGAGCGCGCTCTTCCTCGCGGTCGACGCTTGACCTGAAAAAAGTGAGTTTCAAAAATGCTTAAAATTCAAAGTTTTCAAGCTGCCGTAATCAGTGGATGATAACACCCAGAAAATATTTAAATCGACGCGTAGAAAAGTGAGTTTCAAACGTGTTTAAATCGCACCATTTTTATGCCAATCTAACGTTTTGGATTTCATGATTTTTCAATTCAACAATTTTCAAGTCATTTTCACACCCAAAAAAAGGTGTGTTTCAAAATGCCTCATTATCAAAGATTTTTAGGTCGCCGCAGTGTACGTCGGTTTTTTGCATAACTCCTATATCCCAAAAATTTTATTGTGTTTGATATAAATGTTTAAATTTAAGTTATTTCTTAAAATTTGACGTTTTCCATAGCAATAGCTTTGATACCTGAAAGAGTGAGTTTCAAAACTTTCGAAAACTCAAATTTTTTTAGACTACGGCAATAGCTTCTTCGGAGCGCAAGATCTTTAAATCGCAAACGATAAAAACCTAAACCCCTGCCGCTCCAAATTCTATCTAAAAACGTTAGTTTGAAAAATTTTCCTATCCGAAAATCTTTACATGTGTTGAATATCGATGTTTTAGTTGCCGTTTAGTTTTAAAGCCGACCCCAAGTTTATTAAAGATTTTTGATCACAGAAAAAGTGCATTTCAAGCCGGTGCGAGTATTAAATCGTTTAAGCTGGCGTAATTCGTCCCAGATATTTGGTGCTAAACTCAAACCCCAGCGCGAAAAAGCGAGTTTCCCAAATCTTTGAATATCAAAAAGTAGGAAAACAGATTCCGCACGCTGGGCGCTCGTTTTGGAAAAAAAATGAGTTTCAGAACACGTGGTAAATCAAAAAATTTACTGCTATGGAAGCTCACCATCGTGCGTTTTGTTACTTTCGCTCGCCTGCATTAAAATTTTTTTAACCTCGAAAAATGCGGGTTTCAAAAATTTACTAATCACCAGATTACTTACTCGGGAGAATCACTTCCTCTGTCCAACTATCCAAAATTTTGCTGCTGCAATTTACGAAACCGTATCTCTAACCTTATTTCATAAAAAAGGCAAATAAATAATGATAAGAATTTATTAAATACCTTAATTCAGGAACGACCCATTGCCTTCATTCTGTTGGGATGGATTTTGGAAAAAGCGTGTTTTGGCAAATACGTGGTTTAAGCATCTCACAAGCGCTATAATACCAACCATTTTTCGTGTTTTTGCCTTGTTTAAAACTGTGCTAAATAAATAAAACATGATAGGAAATTAATCTATGAAAATTCAAACGAGCCTAATTATGGTCGGTTTTTCACGTTTTCTACATCACGGAGCCGGTTGGAATATGTTAAGAAAACATGTTTCGAAAAAATGTTAGCCAGGGCAATTTTTCACACACAATAATAGCCATTGCTGGTTCGCGTTAAACACAGTTAACGGATTCAAAACCAATCGAACCTGGCCGGTGTCGGGCTCCTGCTCCTCGAGCTGGCCCGGCTCGTGCTCAGTCGGCTGGCCGCGAGTCCCATGTCGATCACCTTGACCGTGCAGTGCGTAAAGTCCTTGCCGACCGGGTTGATCGCCTCGCAGGCGTACTGCCCGGCGTCTTCCACCTGAATTTACGTTTATAAGCGGAAAAAATATTTTATTGCCGCTTGAACGGTTAAATTAAATCGAATACACAATAAGTTCGCCAAGATTTTTTAAACACATTTTTGTCGCCGAAATTTTGATAGTTATTTTTCACGCAGCACAAATTTCTAAAAGATTGCTTGAAAATTCATTTTATTAATCGAAAATTATATTATTAATTTATGCAGGTGTACTAAAAATTATAAATGGAAGCCTTAGCGCGGAAATAATTTATTTTTAGAAAAACAGCTAGCATCAAAAAATATGCACAAACGCTTTTGAAACATGATTTTGATCGTAAAAAAGTACGATTTTCTAAAATTTTCTAAAACGCCTCAAGTTTTTTAGGTTTTCGGTACGATAGGGCGGCTACCGCACTAATATTGAATTTAAAAGAATTTTTTTAAATTTAAAATTTAAAAGAAAAAAGAATTTAAAAATAATTATTTTGAATTTTTGTCGAGTATGCAAAACTCAGGAATTGAGATTCGATTGAATTATAGAGACTTAGCAAATATCATGAAACATCTTTTTCTGGTTCTAGTGGTTGCCAATTTGAGGTTAAAATTCGCATATTTTGAAACATCTAAAATCTAATGTTAAGAGCTATATCTGACCTGGACATTCATGATGTTCAGCTTCGCAATGCCCTTCCGGTCAATGTAGTGCAGCATGCGATTTTCGAGGATCAGCTTCAGCCCATCCTTGTACCACGTGAGGTTCGGGAGGGGAGAGCCTTCCACCTGAAAAATCAAGACGCATCTCAGCTTTCATTATCTTAAATAAAATTTATAGTCGTACTGCTGTGCTGGTACTGCTTTAATACCATCCAAAATACTACCCGGCACTTTCATACACCTTGAAACTTTTATTTTCCTGGCAAAAAATTGTTTTAACAAACTGGGTAGTTAGGGTTCGAAATTCAAGTGCAATTCGTAAGGGTGTTTTCGCTTCCCCAATGATCTTTGCTAGCCTGCCTTCACTACTAAAGGCTAACCCTGTCATTTACATCAAAAGATGCGCCCTTTTCCTGGGCTACAAAATACCCTACCTAACAAGGGTTAACGGTAATCCTTTGAGGCGGAAAATCGGCAAAATGCTGGTGACCTACCTGCCGTGTAGTTCCAAATTTGTAACGGTACAACTTTTCCAGATTATGATTATTTTGTTTCAAATTTTGTACGCAATTTCTACTTGAGCTTGCGCATATTTTGTCAAAAATACAGTACGATCGGGCGTAATACGAAAAAGTTAGAGCTCCAGGACGCTCTTTTGGGCGACGACGTTCTGTGGTAGCAGTTTTCAAAATCACCTAACTTTTTGATATGATTATATTTTAAGCTGAAACTTGGCAGGGATTTGCTACTGGCAGTTGCGCATGTTTTGGATAAATTACAGTAATTAAAAATAGAACATGACAAAGTTATAGCTTTAGGCAGACGGCACGGATTTTATTCACAAACGTATTACTTTTTCCTATTACGATATTTTCGCTTCAAATTTGGCAGACATATGCGGCTTGATCTTGCGCATGTCCCAGAAAAATTACAGTACCCAGGAACCTAATTTCGCCAAATTACAGGCTTCTGAAACCACAGTACCTGGCACTCCAGCACAATCTCGTTCCCCTCGCAGGCCGACTTGTCCATCAGCGGCTCGACAAACTTCGGCTTGACCCGCTTGTCCTCGGCGGGCGTGATGGTCAGCACCGTCATCGTCCTGGCGGCGCCGTGGAGGTTCTCGGCCACGCACGTGTACGTTCCCGAGTCTTCGGGCAGCGTGTTGAAGATGTTCAGGCTGACGACACCGTTCTCGAATTTGACGGCCTTCCGGTCGAGTTCCATCTTTTTGTCGTCCTTGAACCACGAGATTTTGGGCTCGGGCTCGCCCGCTACTGCGCACACCATCACCAACTCGGTGCCTTCGGGCGCGTCGCGGGGGTTGGGCAGTGGCATCCTGGAATTGGGAAGTTCTGATGAGGTTAGGCTTAGGCTTGGCCTAGGTATAGGGAACTTGGTAATTCTCTCTCTCTCTCTCTCTCTCTCTCTCTCTCTCTCTCTCTCTCTCTCTCTCTCTCTCTCTCTCTCTCTCTCTCTCTCTCGCTCACTCTCTCTTCCACACCTCTTATTTTGAGACTGGCATAAAAGTATCGTTAAAAAAATTAGTGAGCAAATTTTTATCTGATTGCCACGGATTTTCGAAACATATATTTATAGTTTTTTTCCAGGAATTTTTTCGTAACTGATTACGATATAAAATAACCAGAGCTATCCGCTATCTACTCCGGCCATACTGTGATCATTTTCTGACCGGGCTAGTGCCAAGTTTTTGCAACATACTTTTTCTACGCATTTCTAGGTTTTTATGTAAGGACGACACATAGATAGCCAAGGACGATAGACACGAGACATACGATTGAATGATGCGTGGCTAAAATGTAGTCGCGATTCAGCGAAACATATGGAACGTTTTTGACTTTAGAATCATTTTGGATCGATTACGGGGCCAAAATGCCAAGCAAGAAATTTAGGTTTAGAAGTTTAAGTTTAGCAAAGAAAGCAAGCGAGCGACCGGCCAGATTCAACACCAATTAATTTTCTGAGCTCTGGAAACAAATTTGTTTATTTGATTTCGTGTGAAAATTTTTGCGCTCGTTGACCACAATATAATATAAAATAACCACTAAACCCCGCTCGCGGACTAAACTACGCCATAGGTGACTGGCAATGCCATTTGTTGAAACATGACTTTCCGTGGATATTGCTTGGAGGTTCGGATCGTTTTTTGTGCCATACAGATTTTTTCAGAAACATAACCAAGACGAATTAGGTAGCTTAATGAGAATTTGATTGCTACGATTTTGCGCAATAATTTTTGACTCCTGGAAAGCGTACACATTGATGATTTCGAACGAATAGCAATTTCTTACGGATTTTTGCTGATGGGATATCGCAAACACATTTATTAATTGGGTGACGGCCAGTTCGCCTAAATCCGTTTCGCCTAAACCCGTTTCGCCTAAACCCATATCGCCTAAAACCCGTTTCGCCTAAAACCCGTTTCGCCTAAAGCCCATTTCGCCTAAATCCCATTTCGCCTAAAGCCCATATCGCCTAAAACCCGTTTCGCCTAAACCCATTTCGCCTAAATTATTGACCGTTCGCAGTGCTGCATTTTTGACCAAGAAAATCACCATTTTTCGAAATACTTGTAAGTGTTTTAGGATTTTCTAAACATAATTTTGCAAATTCCTTGTCAAAAACCACTTTATGAAGCCAATTAGATAGCTTTTAATGAAGAATCTCAAGGACTCTCTTTAAAATCTTACGAAACTATTAAAAAGGTTTCGAAAATTGCCCATTCTTGGTCAAAAATTTATATATGAAAATGACCAAAATTTAGGCGAAATGGGTTTAGGCGAAACGGGTTTTAGGCGATATGGGCTTTAGGCGAAATGGGATTTAGGCGAAGTGGGCTTTAGGCGAAACGGGTTTTAGGCGAAACGGGTTTTAGGCGAAACGGGTTTTAGGCGAAACGGGTTTTAGGCGAAACGGGTTTTAGGCGAAACGGGTTTTAGGCGAAACGGGTTTTAGGCGATATGGGTTTAGGCGAAACGGGTTTAGGCGAAGTGACCGGAATTCTTTTTAATTGTTGGTTTGGATGAAACAGTGTTCCGTAAATCTTGATCAATGAAACAACTAGAAATCAGCGGAAATCGGTATTTTTAAATCGGTTAGGTTATGAATTTTTCAGGGCGCTTCAAGAAATGGGTGCTCCAAATAAAGATTAACGTCATATCTGTGCTGAAACATTTTTTAAGAGATTCAAATTACACAAATAATTCAGCCTTATCGTTATAGAAAAATTTCCGGCATTTTGAAAGATCCGCGCGCTGCAGAATTCAGGCTGACGAGATCAGCAAATCCTGGCCAATTTTTGAAACATTTTTGCAAATCTTAATCTTGTAGTTTTGAGCATTTTCAATGCTTTAATATGATGTAACTATCTTAAAATGAAACATTGTAATTTATTCAAAATTTTAAATGCTGAATTCACTATAATAAAAAAGAGTTTTTTTTTTTTAATAAAATCCCCACCTAAACTTGGGCGCCTTGGAGTCGTCAATCTTCTTGGGACGGAGCTTCTCGGGCTCCTTGATGGTGACGGTGCACGTGCTCGTCTCGGAGCCGAGCGGGTTCCGGGCGACGACCCTGTACTCGCCCGAGTCCTCGGCGTACGCGTTTACTAGCGTAAGCGAATATTTGTGCAGCTCGTCGTCGAATTCGAGGCGGTAGCGGTCCGAGTGCAGGATTTCCTGGTCGTTGTGGAACCAGGTGATCTCCGGTTTCGGGCGGGCTTCCACCTAAAAATTATATGATTTTCACTTTTCTCTAAATTTTATTTTTGATTTAATTAAATATAATTAAAATTATCACTTTTAAATTAAATCATCTTTTCGTAATTTTAAGTTTTATTACCATTGTTTTTGTAATTTTGCAATTTATTTTTCATTATTTGCGTTTAGACTTAAATGCAATTTTAATTTTTACTCAACCCGAATTTGTTTTTCGCGTGAATATAAAACCATATCTTTATTCATTTTTAAGTTGCCTTCTATTTTACCCATATTTTCGTATTTAATTAAACTTTTATGGTTCTTATTCCCAAAATTTGGAATGATGGAATTATTTTGCAGTAATAGACGGATCCCAATTAAATGAAATTTTCGGCTCTGAATCTGTATTTTTTGTGAAACACACCTAAATATTTCATGTGGACATCTATCTAAAGACTTAGAAACTTTTGAAATAAGGAAAAGCCGGCCTTAAGGAAAAACAGATGCCCTGATCGTTCTATGTTGCGTTTTAAATTTAATCGATTTTTCGCATTAATCGTTAAACGTAATATTAAAAATACGGAAATCCCCCTCCCCCGTTAATGCAAGAGCACCTTGACTATCTAAGAAAATTTTTACTTTACTTTTTAAATATATAATAATAAAAATCGGGTAAATTGTATATAATTTAGATGAGCCCTGATAAAATTTTCAAAATTAAAATGCACTAAAAAATGAGCATACCTTAACCTCCAGCCTGAGCCTCTCCTGCTCATCACAGCGGATGTCGTACAAGCCGTGGATGAAGTTCGGAGCGGCCATGTCATCGGGGACGACAACAGTCAATTTACACTGACTATCACACTCCCCAAAAGCATTAATGCCATGTGCTCGCCACTCGGCGTCATCGCTGAGGTCAACGTGCAGAATCTCGCACTCATAACGGCCCTTGTCGTGTTTCAGAAGGTATTTGTGATCTCGCAGCACTTCGACTCCGTTTCGATACCACCTGACGGTCGGCTCGGGCAGGGTGGTGTTGGTGACGCAGAGTGTGTACGTCTCGCCCCACTTGACGGTCTGGTCGGACAGGCGGTGCCTAAAGGTTTAAGTTTATTAAATCCCATTTTTTTATACTTTTGTTACTGAGTGATACCTTATTTGAAGGCGCGAAAAATCCTATCCTATAAGCGAGAAAAGTATGTTTGTTTTCTGTTCAGCCGATTTCTCGGCCGCCAGGCCGAATTTCCGGCTGATTTTTGGCATGTAGGTGGAGAAACACATTTGTCAGTGAAGCAATTTTTTGTTTCTCGAAATTCCTTCATATAACGATTTTACAAGGAAAATAGTGAAAAATCCTTAACATTTTGGCCGAACAAAGGTTTGTTCAGAAGATATCTCGATTACCAGACCGAATCGGGCTCTAATTTTTGGAGCGTAGATTGAAAATCGAATTCTCCCGATATATAATTTTGCGTTTTGTCTGTTTTTGTAAAATAAAGTTTTTATGGGCATTTTTCTAAAAAGTCCTTAACAAAATCGGCCAAGAGCCGTGGTGTTCGGGCCATAACTCGAAGCCCAGATGGAATTTCGGTCTGTAATTTGGACCACTTATGTATTCAATGGTGGGGATCATGCACATCTTATTATTTTTACAAATTTTCAGCGGATTATGACTCAAAAATGGAATTTTGTAAAGTGGCCAAAAGGCCTCCCGCCCGGGGCATTTGGTCGGCCCTCTGTTTGCCTCCCGCGCCTCCCCAGAACGGAAGAGGCCTTTCCTGCCCCCTGTACCCATGTGCCTCTTGGTGTATGGGGTTAGCTCCCGGGCTACCACGCGGAAGGACATAGGTTCGGATCCTGGGCCAAGTTGGCTTTTTGCTTTTTGGTAGTTTAGCAAGCAAAACATCGTTCTATGCTATCGCATGCAAGGTTTAGGCCTGACCCTCGATCTAGCGCCGCAGGCCGAAGGAAAGGTCTTTGACCCAGGCTCTCGCGCCGCAGGCCTAGGATGGGTCCTTGATCTAGGCTCTTGCGCCGCAGGCCAGATCCTGGAGAACAACCAGTAATTAGCGCCGCAGGCAAAAAGTTTCTAGCGCGAGGTTTAGGCCTGGCTCTGGCTCTAGCGCCGCAGGCCAAAGGATGGCTCCTTGACCAACGTACTTGCGCCGCAGGCTAAAAAAAGGAAGGTGTTCAAATTCATGGTTCCTGGACGGGGTCCAGTGGAAAAGGGCCGCGAAGCGGTCTTTTTCCACTGGTTCTCTATAAAATTGACGATTCAAAATGGATTAAATGACTAGGGTAATCGAGATATAGCTATCTTAATTTCAATTTTTGGTCGGACAGGCGGTGCCTAAAGGTATAAATTTATCAAATGTCAGATTTTGGATATTTTTAAGGTTGAGTGATACCTCGTTTTAAAGAGCGAAAAATCCTCTATAAATGGCATATTCAAAATGGATTAAGTATTTACGGTGATCGAGATGTAATTATTTTAGATGGGCGAGGGTATACGTTTATTAAATACCAGGTTCTAGCTACCTTTTCCATGGAATAATAGCTCATTTTGAAGAGCTAAAAATTCTCTACAAAATGCACTATTCAAAATCGAGTAAATGACTACGGGAATCGAGACATAGTTTGTCTAAGTTCAAGGTTTCGCCGGACCGGCAGTGTCGAAAGGCATAAGTTTATTGAATGCTAAGTTTTTAGAAACTCTTAACGTTATCCGATACCTAATTTGAAAGGGCGTCAAATTCTCCACACAAAATAGGTCATTGAAAATTTGGTTAATTAGTGAGTTAAGACGAGAGAGGATTATTTTAGTTTAGCGATATTTTTTGCGGAATTCACGAGTAGCGAAGAAGCTAAAGCCACAATTTTTGTGAAACATTAATTTCTCGAATTTTCAGGTAAAGATTAAAAGTAAAAGGAGCCGATTCAGCTAGTAGCAATAATCCGGCAATAAGGGACTTTACACGTGTAAAAACAATTGATCTACTATAAATCTAAATTTTGGATTTTATTCAGAATGAATTTTGAAATTTTGAAGTTTCAGTTAATCTTAAAAAGCGGGATTCATTTACGGGAATAATAGACAAAGAAACTTTTTCTTCAACGTTTCTTCAATTTTTGGGCAGAACCGGACACTTTGATTATTAAGTGACGTTAATAGTATTTAATTTACGGTTTTTGACGAATTTTTGAAGATACCTGAAGAACGGCGGCTGGTCCATGAGTGGGGGTTCTTCGGGGATCTCGGTCTTTGTTCTCTCCTTCTTCAGCTTCTTCGACTGATCGGTCGGCTCGGTGTCGGCCTTCTTCACCTGCAAAAACAAAAAGTTGAAAAATAGCATGAAACAATAAAATTCCTTATTTAATTTTCCAGCATTTCTAGAATGTTTCAAAAATTCCCAAAACTACCGAACTTTTTGAAATTTTTAATTTCGCTCATCCAGCAAGTTTCAATTCTTACTGTAAAGTGTTTTTACTCAACTTGGAGTTTCGATTCGGGACCAAGCGCATCTTGTGCAGAATTTTTTGCTGATTCCGAATATGTTTTCCAAATTTGCTACGGACTTTTATTTAAAAAATCATTTTTGGTAACAATTAGGCCGAAAAATGCCAAAAATTTGGGTGGATTGGAAAACGCTGGCCCACTATTCCTTGTTTGGGTCTATTGTTGCCAGGGGCCCTGAAGTACCCTTTGACAGCAACCTACCCAGTTGGCACCATGGTGCATTGGCAAAGTACTCGCTTGCCAAGCGCAGGGCGGTGGTTCGAACCCCCGCTCTGCATCATTTCTTTTTGCTTTTTGCATAAAAATCTCATTTTTTATCTAAAATGCTTGTTTTGAGCTGTAGGATGCTTGTCGAGCCAACGCCTAGTCAATTTGACGTTGAAATTAATGAAGAAAATCGAAAACTATAACGATACCTTCATTTTGGTGAAAACTAGGGTCATAATTGCCGTATAACTTTCAGAATAACGGTCCGTAGCAAATTTGGAAAACATATTCGGAATCAGCGAAAAATTCTGTACAAGATGCACTTGGTCCCGAATCGAAACTCCAAGTTGAGTAAAAACACTTTACAGTTAGTCCTAAAAATTACAGCATACCTTCTTCTTCGGGGCTTCGATGACGAGCTTGGCCTGGGTCTCGATGGATCCAAGATCATTTGTGGCCCGGCAAGTGTAGATTCCGGCGTCGGTTTCTTCGATATTCTTCACCGTCAGCTCGGCAAGGCCATTAAGGTAGCGAGTGTTGTATTTGGGGGGAATTTGTTGGTAGTTCCTTGTCTCCCTGGAAATTAAAAATAGTCTAATCGTCGCCATTAAATCCCTAATTACTTTAAGGATACCTTAAAAAAATCGGCAATAAACATAAATATAGGAAAATAATTAAAATCAATTAAAAATACCAAAATCTTACAATGTTCGATCTTAATAAATTTTAAAAGATTCCTTAGGATGCCGTAAAGGTCTGGAACATACGATAAAAATATTCTAAGGATACTTTCAGTGAATTTAAGCTTTCTTAACTATGTTTGAAATCAATATACATATATACCTTGAACCAGCGGATCCTTGGCGCCGGCATTCCTTCGACGTCGCACGACAGCGTCGCGATCAGGTCACCAACATTTGCGAAAATGTCCTCGAGACGTTTTCGGATGATTGGTGCGCAGTCGGTGTCTGAAATTTGGATTTATCACCCCAAATGATATGTGCCAGCCTGCCCCCAATACAAATGTTTTGTTAAAAATGATGTTACGTAAATTGCTAGCTTTAGTCTGAAAGTTGGTGCTACAGTCAGTCCAATCCATTCGCGCATGCGCTTATTTTCTCGTAAATGACCTGCTGCCGCTGCCAATTTCTGCCAATAACCTCTGCTAGCCTGCCCCCTCCCCCTCTCTCTCATCCCAAATGATCTCTGCTAGCCTGCCCCTCCCCCTCTCTCTCATCCCAAATGATCTTTGCTAGCCTGCCCCTCCCCCTCTCTCTCATCCCAAATGATCTCTGCTAGCCTGCCCCCTCCCCCCTCTCTCATCCCAAATGATCTTTGCTAGCCTGCCCCCTCCCCCTCTCTCTCATCCCAAATGATCTCTGCTAGCCTGCCCCTCCCCCTCTCTCTCATCCCAAATGATCTTTGCTAGCCTGCCCCCTCCCCCTCTCTCTCATCCCAAATGATCTCTGCTAGCCTGCCCCCTCCCCTCTCTCTCATCCCAAATGATCTCTGCTAGCCTGCCCCCTCCCCCCCTCTCTCATCCCAAATGATCTCTGCTAGCCTGCCCCCTCCCCCTCTCTCTCATCCCAAATGATCTCTGCTAGCCTGCCCCTCCCCCTCTCTCTCATCCCAAATGATCTCTGCTAGCCTGCCCCTCCCCCCTCTCTCTCATCCCAAATGATCTCTGCTAGCCTGCCCCTCCCCTCTCTCTCATCCCAAATGATCTCTGCTAGCCTGCCCCCTTCCCCTCTCTCTCATCCCAAATGATCTCTGCTAGCCTGCCCCTCCCCCTCTCTCTCTCATCCCAAATGATCTCTGCTAGCCTGCCCCCTCCCCCTCTCTCTCATCCCAAATGATCTCTGCTAGCCTGCCCCCTCCCCCTCTCTCTCATCCCAAATGATCTTTGCTAGCCTGCCCCCTCCCCCTCTCTCTCATCCTAAAAGATCACTGCTAGCCTGCCCCTTGATCCGTCTGTATGCCTCAAAGAATCTCCGCTAGCCGGCCAGCCTACCGAAAGAAATATTCCGCTCGAATACTCCGTCCATCGACAGTCTCCTGAAGATGGCTCCCCGCTTGGCGAGGCGTCCAATCGGCAGCAGGTCGTCCGACCAGCGCTTGCGCGCCATGAAGTCGCGCTTCTGGCGGAGCGGGACCTTGCCGCGGTATTTCGGGGCGGATTTCTAAAGGACGAAATTAATTCAGTAAATTTTATCGATTTCCTGAATAAATTTGGGTATATAGAAATTTGTGTTTCATCTATAAATATGCAACAATCAAAGCCAGAATGAGTTACTGGACGCCGAATAAATTGCGATTATAGTCTACACAAAAAATTCTTTAAATCAGGGCAGGGAAACAAAGTGTTTCACATAAAACTGATGATGAAACGGCGCGGGAGTCTCTATTGGAAACCTTGCCCTCTTCGTATAAAAACTATGGTTTGCAATCGCTTCAAATTATTTTAGAAAACGCCAAAAAATTAATATTCTTTTTCACTGAAAAAAGCCTGTTTTATTTACTAGCAGCATTTATAATTAAGCGTTCTTAAGAGAAAATCGGCTATAATAAAATACACTTTTAATAGAAACGTAGAACCTCTTTAAAACGGCGGCTCATGTTAAAATCCGTTTTTAAGCGGATTGCGCAATCAAAAAAACTAACGGATTTTCGTTAAATTTCAAGCTAATATATATTGCAAGTTATAAAACTTTCAAAAGTTTCCGAATCCCCTTATTCTTAAAGAATCGATGTTTCCCCTAAAGACAAATGACAAAAAATTTGCAAGGGTCATTCAGCGGCAGTTATCGCCCCAAATTGCCTATTATAACCTTTTCTTATTGGAGAAAAACCGATCAAAATATCCAGATTTTACGACAACATAGACACACACCTCCACGTAGTCGGACAGGTCTTTGAACGCGGACAACATTGGACCCTGAAAATGAGCAAATGAGGAAGAACAATAGCTAAATAGCCAGGTAATGTTTGGATGGATCTGTTGAAGCAATGGTAAACAATTACATTAGAAACTAAAAGTCATTTAACACTTTAAAAACGCTAAAAAATCGGAAAATACAGTAATGAACCACAGAAAATCATAATAGAATTTTGGCCTAATTGTATGTTTCATTCGCAAAATCTGTTTGGTGCGGTAGCGATCCCTTAATAGATTCCTGGTTTCAAAGTATATTTTTCCTCATCTTTTTCACGAAAAATCCACCAATCATTATTAAAGTTTTTAATCGAAATTTGCGGCTAGACCATGGAAAAATGCAATCAATAAAAACAAGCATCCGAAAACTGGTGGTTTTGAAGATTTTTCCCTACTTTTTTCAACCACCGATTTTTAAACGAGTAAGATGTTTCTATGAATTTTAAAGCAACTCCTGAAACTTCCAGGCAATTCAGCCGCTGATATGTGCCGGACCTACAATTTCATTCTTCTCTAGAAGATGATAGAAGTAGTTTTTTTCTTGAAATTTAGAAATTAAATCACTTATATATAAATTTCTAATGTCCGTGCGCCCGTCCGTCCGCCCGCCCGCCCGCCCGCCCGCCCGTCCGACCGGATCGCTGCGGGACCCCAGGACCGGTTCGGACGGGTCCGGGAGCCGGGGCGTTTCGGGATTTCGGGATTTCGGTGTATGGGATTCCCCCCGGGAGGGCCAGCGCTGAACCCCCGCGGAGCGGGGGGTCAGCGCTGGTTTAAATTAAATTACTACATTAAAAAGTGTGTTTTTTTCTAAAAACATAAGACATAGAACATTGAAAGGCTGGTGTGAGCCACAAAAACCATACCACGATCCACGGGTGCTGCAGGGCCTCCTGGACGCTCATGCGCTTCCTCTTATCCTTGGCCATTAGACGGCAGATGAAATCTTTGGCCAAATCAGAAACATCTTCCCATGACGGGTCGTCAAAGTCCCAATCGGCTGCCGAGACATTCGCCAGCGTTTCCTCGTCGGAGTCGCCGAGGAATGGAGAGAGGCCGGAGAGCCTAAAAAATGGGATTTCCACAATGACCTCTGCTAGCCTGCCCGCTCCCCCTCTCTCTCATCCCAAATGATCTCTGTTAGCCTGCCCCCTCCCCCTCTCTCTCATCCCAAATGATCTCTGCTAGCCTGCCCCCTCCCCCTATCTCTCATCCCAAATGATCTCTGCTAGCCTGCCCCCTCCCCCTATCTCTCATCCCAAATGATCTCTGCTAGCCTGCCCCCTCCCCCTCTCTCTCAACCCGAATGAACTCTGCTAGCCTGTTAAATTACAAGAAATGCTAGGCCACGAATTTGATGTTTCAAGACTACTGATGCACTAGGAAAATTCATCACGTTTAATACCAAGTGGTTTGCGGATGCCATCCTTTTGGTGTGGGTCTGGTGTTTTATTTGGTTACGCCAATCCTAATTTTACGAACTGCGCAATTCCAATTGTTCCGTATACTTGTTTTCCAAAGGTTCGTTTTTCGTGAAAAATAGCATGTTTCCTCCAAAATAAAATCGGGCCAGACGCTGAGAGCCCGATTTGATTAGGCCAATTTGTAATACTTTTTAATGTCAATTTAATTGCTATGCGATTTGTTATTTTAAAGGGTGTGGGACACCTGCAAAAAACTAGAATATAAATGAAAGTTAGTGACAGATATTTAGTCGATATGCACTTTATGCACGTATCTGTCCTAGAATTTTTTTGAAAAAAAACATGTTTCAGCCAAAATAGATCCCGGACGGGCTTTAAACTTTACAATTATAACGTCTGAGCTGCCTTATTTTGTAAATAATTTTAAGCGGAATCCAATGTCTTTTCTATTTTTAAGGGAGCGGGACATCTATAAAAAGCCGAAGAAAACTTACAAAACGTAGGAGATCACTCCGACGGTCCACATGTCCGTGGCGAGGCCGACGGGCTGGTAGTTGACCACCTCGGGCGCGCAGAATTCTGGCGTGCCGAAGAGCAGCTTCACGCCGCGCTTCGGGTCCAGCTTCCGCGCAAGCCCAAAGTCGATGATCTTGATGTCGGTGCTGCCCTTCGCCTAGAATTTTAAGCGTATTCGCGCACTTTATGATTCAAATCTTAAATTAGTCATTTGGAATTTTCAAAAACGTTGTATTCTTTGCGTAAAAGTTTTTCGCATCGAACCTTCGCACGATTAAAAGCCTAAGCCTGAAATTCTGTGCTCAAGATTTTTGAATCATATATTTTTCCAAACAAAACATTAGAAAACTTCGTCATAAACTTTTTAAACAGAAAATCGTGTTTCAAATTGTTGTGATGTGATGATTCAGCCAAAGATAAAAAGAAGCATTTTTGAGCTTAAAAATATATGTTTCAACTTTTTCCCTTGTACGACTCTGTCCCACCAACCCAATGTACGACATGTTGCGAGTTTTAAACAAAACGAGTCGAAACCTCTAAACAAGCTATAAAATGTATGTTCCAATCTTTTCCATTGTTCAGCTTAAATTCGAAAATAATGATATGGGATGATGAGAGATTATAACGATTATGATAATAAGATATTTTTGGCGTAGAAATTTGGCCTAAGGTAAAAAATTTAGGCAAGATTAAATTAAATATATATGTTTAGCATTTTCGCTTGTTTGACCGGTCATCCCCCAGATAATTCGGCGTCGCTCTCCAATTCAGCAAAATAAATTAATATCTACGAAAAGGCATTAAAAATATATATTTCAACATTCTCCCTTATTTTACGGGGTAATCCCAACGTAATTCGTTGTATATTTTTGGAATTCAGAAAATAAATTAATATCTAAAAAAACGAGGCTTTAAAAATAGAGGTTTTACCATTTTTCATTGTTTGACGAAGCTATCCCAGGCTAATTATCTGTTTTTCGTGACCTTTCGAACCAACCTTGAGCAGAATATTCTCAGGCTTCAGGTCGAGGTGGACGATGTTCTTCTGGTGCATATGCTGCAGTCCGAGCAGGATCTGGTGCATGTAGTCGCGAACCTGGAAAAATAGCATATTTATTGCTTTTCTTCATTATAGAGTAGAAAGTTTTATTTTAGTGATGCTTTATTCGAAAGCGCAAAAAATTCTAAGCAAATTCTGTAAGAAATTCCTTGAAAATTGTTTTAGAAAAACCGAGAAATTGTAAACTTCCAGATTGACTTTGAACTACATTATTTTTTTAGCTATCCATGCTGAGTGATATTTTTTTGAAACACGAAAGTTTACCATTTTTTGGAAATCGCGGCTGTGGTACTTTTAAAATTTCGAAAGCACAGAATTTCCATTAAAATTCCTGGAAACACCCCAAATTTTATACGAAAAATGTCGACATTCTGGCATTTCGACATATTGCAATTCGGCATTGTGAATTTAGACATCTTCAAATCTCGACGTTATCCATTTCAAAATTCGGCATTGAATGAATTTCGGTATTATTTTGTATCGCCAAGCTTTTCCCGGCCCTTTAAATCTTTAGGGTTTGTATTTTACATGTTCTCGCCTCTATAAGTCGAAATTTACAAAAAAAATGTCGATAAATCCTTTCCTGGGTAGCAAATGCTGCCTATTGTTTTGTTTCCGAGGTACCTGCCCTCACAAATTTAGAAAACATGTTAATTTCAACTTCATTAATTTGGCAGCCCAACATTTTCATCTCAAAATCTAAATGTTATAGATTTTTGCCTTCCCGGTCCCTTTAAAGCCCTGAATTTACCTCGGGCTCGGACATGAGCGAGTCGTCCTCCATGATCTTGTCGAAGAGCTCTCCGCCCGAGACAAATTCCTCGATGAGGCACATCTCATTTCCGAGATCAAATGCCTCATGCAGATGCAGCAGCTTTTCATGGTGCAACTGGTTCATCATGTCCATCTCGTGCAGCACGTTCTCTTTCTTCACTCCCGGGCGAACCTAGAATTGATTAATTTTAGTTGTTTTGCAAATACTTATTATTTTACGAAACAACGAAATTGAAAATTTATATAGGATTTAATTTGGTAATAGGAAACAATTAATAGCGCGTGAAAAAATGTTTCCGAAATATTGCATTTTCACGAAACATTTTATCGCTAAAAATTCAAACGAGTTCAGCTTTTTCCGCGAACCTGCAGGACTTTATTAATTTTTAATAGCTATTGAAACAATTATTATTTTACGAAACATGGATTTAAAAAAATTCTGTCAAGACCAGACTTTGTAGTCAAATCTTTCTCCCCTTTTTAACGAATTTAATTGAATTTTACAACTTGCAGGCCGCATAGCCGCATTTGCTTGCAAGAATAGTTTTCCAGAATCGTGTTTCACGAATTATTTATACAAAAAAATCGAAAATTGATGGTACTGCGAAGTGGATTAATTTTTAGCGGATTCCGCGGTAACCTGTGTTTTACGAAACCTGCATTAAAAAAATACTAACAATCTAGGGTATCCTAAACCCCGCCCCTTCCTAGCGGTCCGCAGTCAAGCCCGATTTTTACGATTTTCGTATCTTTCGAAAGCGCTCGTCGAGCTCACCTGGACCATTTTGGCGGCCCACGTCTTGCCGGTGGCTCGTTCGATGGCACGGTATACGGTACCGTAGGCCCCACGGCCGAGCTCCTCGCAGATGATGTACTGGAAATAAAGTGTTTTAAAGCACGCCAACTAAGCCTTTTCTTAATCAAATTTAATCGTAGGAACAGCTTTTTCATAGGAGGAATTTTGCGTCAAAGAAATCTCGAGTGGTCTGGAATAAATTTTTCCCACCTTTGCCTGCAAGTCGTTCGGGATGCGGTTGAGGTCGACGGTCTTGTTCAATTCGGCCTCGCCTACTGTAGTGTCCAGCTTTTCGTAGTCAACGGCTTCGGGCTAAAAATTTGGGAATTATAGTATTTTGAAAAAGTCTGTTTCAAAAATTTCTGGGACCGCTACTCGCTGTAATTGATAATTCCGCCAACTCTCCGTTTGGAAATTCTGTCCAATTCAATTCCTCAAAGCGTCTCTGCTAGCCTGCCCCCTCCCCCTCTCTCATCCCAAATGATCTCTGCTAGCCTGCCCCCCCCCCCTCTCTCTCATCCCAAATGATCTCTGCTAGCCTGCCCCCTTCCCCCTCTCTCTCATCCCAAATGATCTCTGCTAGCCTGCCCCCTCCCCCTCTCACTCATCCCAAATGATCTCTGCTAGCCTACCTGTTCCTCCTTCCTCTCCTTTGGCGGTGGGGTAACGACCTGTCTGGTGACAGATTGTACCGTAACCGGATCGGTCTCTTCCGAAGGGTCGGACTGCCCGAAGACGTTGTCGGCGCGGACGCGGAAGCGGTAGGTTTCTCCGGCGACCAAGTGGAAAAGCGTGGTGAATGGCTGTTTCGTCACCTCGGCCTTCGCCCAGGTTTTGTCGTTTTCCTTAGAAAAAAAAGTAATTTTTCAATCGTCATGGGTTTTCAATGATAAATAGTTTTTCAGTTTATCTTTAGGTTTCAAAAAATTTACCGGATGTGAATTTATTGAGTCGCTTAATTATACCTCTTCCGGGGAGCTCATGCTTTCTAATGGCCGAAGCCGGGTTATATTAATTCGGAAATTTTTATTGAGGTATAAATACCAAACTTCGATTTGTGTTTTTAATTAGAAACGTTAGAATACTTTGTTACGCTGAAAATTCTGCTATTTTGTGGAAAAACAACAATTTTACTATTTTACTATTTTTCCGATTATAGCAATGTTTCAAGAATTCCACAGAATCAGAATTTTTCGAGCAGCTTAATTAGAAATGTTGGCGCTTTCTAGAAGGTCAAAGTAAGTTTTTATCAACTACGACATTTTTTTTGCTTTCTAAATTGCAAATTTAAAATTTTATTTCTATTTTTTTCTTGGCTACAAATCACAAAACCATTGATTAATAAAGTCTTATTACCATTAAGACCGACCATTTCATTAAATCATTTTTGAATAATGTTGTTTCCGAAACTTACAGTCTTCATTTCGACAATATAATTCCTGATGGCCGATCCACCGTCCTGTTTCGGCACCGCCCAGAGCAGCTTGACGGAGTCGACATTTTGGTCTTGGACGGTCGGCTTTCCTGGCGGCTCCGGGCGATCGGTCACCTAAAAATAGCATTTAATGTCGCGTAAATAAAAATATGTCATCTTAACCTTGTGTTCTCACAAAGTAAAATTTATTAAAGGGATTTTTCTGCATTTTGTTGATCCAAATGGCTGTTGTGATTTTTAACAAATTTTTGGACCAATGTCGATTTAATGTTTCAAATTTTGCGCCAGTCAGCCCTGTCTCGCGATTGTTAATAATTTGTATGTAGCGTTCAAGCATTTTTAAAGGGGATGTAGCCTTTTTCCCATTTGCCGGTCCCTTAAAAACGTTAATTTTTGAAAATGGATTGAAATCTAATTTTAAGGAGATGTTAAAAGCAACTTTCCATGCAATCCTAATTTTTTTTGGCTGAACCTGGTGCTAATGTTTCAAACTTTTTAGACACGGCTGCCGCGATTTTTAGACACTTTTTAGACACAGGCTTTCCCTTCAGTTAACCCGCTTAAAGGGCTGCCGACGGCATGTGTCGATCCCCCCCATCAACAAATTGGCAAATAGCCAACAGGGGAGAGAGCGCGCGCTGGGGAGAGGCGCAGAGACATTTTCTTTCCAGCGCGTAACCGAATGCCTATGCCGTCGGCATCCCTTTAAGGGGACGTGTAGGTCCAACCATGATTTTTTGCTAGAGATTCTCCAGATTTTGCCGTGCCGGGATACGCTACGGGTACGCTGATTCCATTACGCGCTGTAAGGCCCTAATTGTAATGGCTTACGCACTGGGAAGCCGAGCGTGCGTGCGTGTGCGTTGCGCGTCGCGGCATCGGAAAAACTAGGTAATCCATAGCCACGAAATCCATAGGCATGGCTTGCCGGTGCCTTTAAAAGATGGAAATTCCAGATTCAAGCGCCTCTTCAATTCGATAGTGTCAATTTGACGGGTGCCCCCCTCTTTGAGCTGATGCGCAAATATATTAGAGGCAATTGGCGCTTGGCGAATTTTGACGCTTCAGAAATTTCACAGCAACAATACATAGCCGGCGCATTGTTACAGTAATTTCCGGCAAGACGTGGTAACTTTTTGAAACACTTTTGTTTTATTTCGAAAATCCGAAGCATTTTTTATTGCCAAAAACGGTCAAAGCGTTTTAGTTAGCTAGCATATTTCTTTAAATGTATTTTTACAAGCTATTTCGTTATTTAAGCATTTTTGCGGCCTTAGACTTGTAATCGTCGTTTTCTGTGGTTTTTTACTTGTTCCCTAAGCTTTTGTTATACTTTTTAGATCGTGAAAGGCAGAGCATGTGTTTGGAAATTTTTAAACTTGATTAATTTCGGTTCAGCAGTTTCTGGCATTAACGTGGTGGGTGTGCTAGTTGCTGCGGAAAATGTTGAGTTATACATTTTTTAATCCTATCCTATAAGCAGAGCTTCGTAGGCATTGTTTTGATCTGCTGAAAAAAGGCGAAAAATTATTCTTAGGACCTTTAGCTCTGAAAGGTAGATTTTCTGAAACATCAGGTTTAACGAAATTTATTGGATGCGTATCAAAAATCTCATTTTTTGATGTTCGAGGAGGGACTATTCTATGGAAGTGAACGAATCATACCAATCAATTTTTTGAAGCATACTTTTTGCAAACGTTTCTTTACATTATGCGAGCGCTGTTCCGGGAACGCGAAGGACTGTATGGCTCTAGTTTTTACTCTACAGGTTATGGTTTTATTCCATAAGAAATTGGCCGGGGCCGCGAGACGAAACGCACACGTTTTTAGACGTTTTTAGACCTGATCAATTTTCAAACCAGGTAACGAACGAGCTGTAATTAAGTTGGCGGCTCTGCTAACAGGTACCAAAATTTTTGAAATATACTTTTTTGGGCATTTGAAGACCTGGTGCACCTGTAAAATGATAGCCGTACTTTTAGCGTGACACCCAACCGGATTATGGCGAAATGCCTAATAGTTGCTAGCAACCTTATCCAAACATGTCTTTTTAAATTAATTGAATTTTCAAATTTTTTTTGAGAGAATAGAATGGGAGGGAATAGGCATGCGCAAGATCCTGACATTGCTTATATAGCTCAGAATTTCGGCCAAACAAATACTGAATCATTTTTTTGCGTTTTTCAACATCCCAAAAGTGTCCCGGGTTCAATACGTTTTGTGACCTTTTTTAAATCTACAACATTTTCGCAACATGTATTTTTAGAGTAATTTAAATTTCAGATATTTTTTGAGAGAGTAGAATCGGAAGTTCCAAAGTCCCAAGATTAGTAACGTAGCTGACCATTTTTCAAGAACAATTTATGAATCATTCTTTTTTGAATTTTTTTTTAATATTCTAGAAAACAGATTTGGCGCCTGAGAATTTCATGAATAAAAAGTAACCTATTATTTTCTAACATTTTAAATGTATTTTTAGGTTATCTCTCTCCAAGCCCCGCCCACTTTCCACCAGGCGCCATGACGACGATCGGGTGGGTGATATTTTTGGAGAAAAGGATTTCACGTATAATTACGATCCACAATTACCACCACCTAACCATTTTTGTTTAGCAACCATTTTGAAACAGTTTTATTTTTTGAGTGAAATTACGTGAATAATCGGGGTAGGCTAGCAGAGATTTCTTAATTTTTTCATGATTGTCATAAGATTTACCGATTTTTTTTCAGTTTTGCAGAGCTGGGGCAGGCTAGCAAAACGATATACTCCATATTGGCCTCGTGGTCAAGGCAGGCTAGCAGAGATTCTTTAGGGATTTTAAAAGTGCATTTTCCCCGTTTTTCTACTAGAAAGTAGTGCCCCAGGGAGCCAATTGGGCCCCAGGGCTATTAGCCGTGGTCTTTGGGGCCTCAATTCTTTAAAATTCGAAAAAAGAACGTTTTGGCGGGGAGTTCCAGGTCAATTGTTCGGATTTTTCTTTACTCTCTCTCTCTCTCTCTCTCTCTCTCTCTCTCGCTCTCTCGCTCTCTCTTTGCGGAAAATCAAAAATTATGTCGAAGCTTCAAGTATTGCTTCCGGGAACGTGTGTTTTGCAAAAAGGTCCTGCAGGGCTCTCTGTCTTTTGAAGGCTACAACGAAATCAGAATACCTTTTCAATTAATTTCTTAGGATTATAAAAGAGGGCGCCTTGGAAAAATAATGTTTCAAAAATATGCTGTAATGATTTTGGAAAGTTATTTTAATATCTTTGTGGTTTCGTTCAAAGCATGAATGTTTTGGTTTTGCGGCGGTAATGCGAGCGTCCCATTAAGTTTCAAATTCCCCCCCGGATTTTTCCCGGAGCTCAAAAAACCCTCCGGATTCCTGAAACCGGCCACCCCTAGCACAGGGTTCGAGAAAATCAGATGTTTCAAATATCTTCCAAGATAAATATTTTCTTTGCGGAGGTAATGAGGTTCGTTGGCGGTGTATTTCCATTGTCCTCCGATTTTCCTGATTTTCCCCTCCCTAAAAACTCTCCGGAAATGATATTCGGGGCGTGGTGTCCAGCCGAGTCGGACTCGAGGCTAGCATATGGGGCAAGTCAAAATTTTCGCGCCCCACAAACGGAGGGCTTTTCCTAAGGGAATTCCCGGCGAAAAGAGCGGAAAAGACATTCCGGAAAAACGGATTTGGGTAGAAGTCGTCCAGAGGAAAGGAACGGAAAAAAGGAGAAGGCGGTGGTGACAAATCCATCCACACCACCCACTCACCCGTCAATGTTCCCCAAATGATCTCTGCTAGCCTGCCCCCTCCCCCTCTCTCTCTCATCCCAAATGATCTCTGCTAGCCTGCCCCCTCCCCCTCTCTCTCATCCCGAATGATCTCTGCTAACCTGCCCCTCCCCTCTCTCTCATCCCAAATGATCTCTGCTAGCCTGCCCCCTCCCCCTCTCTCTCATCCCAAATGATCTCTGCTAGCCTGCCCCCTCCCCCTCTCTCTCATCCCAAATGATCTCTGCTAGCCTGCCCCCTCCCCTCTCTCTCATCCCAAATGATCTCTGCTAGCCTGCCCCCTCCCCCTCTCTCTCATCCCAAATGATCTCTGCTAGCCTGCCCCCTCCCCTCTCTCTCATCCCAAATGATCTCTGCTAGCCTGCCCCCTCCCCCTCTCTCTCATCCCAAATGATCTCTGCTAGCCTGCCCCCTCCCCTCTCTCTCATCCCAAATGATCTCTGCTAGCCTGCCCCCTCCCCCTCTCTCTCATCCCAAATGATCTCTGCCGACCGCAGCGGAGCCTTTTGATTTTGATAAGTTTTGAGCAAGTTTCCTGCCAAATTAGTTTGATAACCGAATGCTTACGAAATTAGTTTGATGGTTTTACACCAATCTAAAGGATTTTCTGAAACATGTTAATTTTGAAAAAGCTGTTGCAAAATTAAGCAAGCTCTCCTGAAGACGTTTTTTAGGCTACTAATTTTCAAGCGTAAAAAATTCACCTGAATTCCGATGGCGTATTTGTCCTCGCCGCAGCGGTTGCGCACGCGGCACGTAAATTCACCGCGGTGGGCGATCTCGATTTTCTGGATGGTTAGGCAGGTGTTCAGGCCCGAAGTTTCGATCTGGAACGGCACATTAATAAGAGTGCCATGAAATATATAGGACCTTGTTTTTCATTGTACTTGAGTATCTGGTGGCTTTTTTATTCTGAACGGCACAACAACCACCAATACGGCCTTTCGATACCATGTTTTACTGTCGTGGGACAAAACACATTTATTTCCCAAGGTTTCAGATTTTTGGAGAATCCGTTTTTATCAAGAATCTTTGCTAGCCTGCCCTCCTCTCGGGGTCCGTCCAGTTCCTCAAACAATCTCTGCTAGCCTGCCCTCCTCTCGGGGTCCGTCCATTTCCTCGAACAATCTCTGCTAGCCTGCCCTCCTCTCGGGGTCCGTCCATTTCCTCAAACAATCTCTGCTAGCCTGCCCTCCTCTCGGGGTCCGTCCATTTCCTCCTCCAATCTCTGCTAGCCTGCCCTCCTCTCGGGGTCCGTCCATTTCCTCCTCCAATCTCTGCTAGCCTGCCCTCCTCTCGGGGTCCGTCCATTTCCTCCTCCAATCTCTGCTAGCCTGCCCTCCTCTCGGGGTCCGTCCATTTCCTCAAACAATCTCTGCTAGCCTGCCCTCCTCTCGGGGTCCGTCCATTTCCTCAAAGAATCTCTGCTAGCCTGCCCTCCTCTCGGGGTCCGTCCATTTCCTCAAACAATCTCTGCTAGCCTGCCAATCAGCTGATGGGTGTCACTCCCCCTTTAAAAACCCAAGTTCTTTGTTACCTTGAACTTGGCGCCGTCGGCGATCGTCTTCCCCTGGTTGTCGATCCATTCGACTTCCGGTACGGGACGGCCTAGAAAAATGGAAATTGTATGATACGTGACATAATGCCATCAGCCAATGATTAATATGATTCATGCACGTTAGACTTGTTAATTTTTTGAAACACTATTTTTGACTTTTCGGAGTTTTGTTGTGCTCAGTTACCGCACCATAATTCGTGTGATTTGTTTCCATCTATTTCTGTATAATAAAATTGATGCAATTTACATTTTATTATAGAAATTTTTTTAGGAATTTTAAAGGCTCTAGTATTGTTTTTTGCTGAATTTTCGTCAAAGATTTTTATGTTTTCCCCTTGCATATTTCTAGCATTTTTCCAACATGATTTTAAGCACACAAGCTGCGGTTTTTCAAGAATCGATTTTTTTACTATAGGAAGACGACCAATTGTCGCCATACAACACCAAATTTAGGCTTTAATTTTATGGAACATATTTTTTAATATTTGGCCGTCTCTTATTTTCCGCTTCTCATATTTTTTTCTATACCTTCTCTGATGCCTACGTGGGTATAAGCCGGGTGAATTTTCCATTTTCGATTTCCACCCCGGCCAAGTGGGGGTCCTCTTGAATCTTCGAAACGCCAAAATTTAGAGAGAGAGAGAGAGAGAGAGAGAGAGAGAAAGAGAGAGAGTGGGAGAGTGAGAGAAAGGGAGAGAAAGCGACACAGAGAGAGAACCCCTCAAACCCCATGCAATTCCGTGGGTATTCCGGGGAACACCTATAGACGCTACCATGGGGGGGGGGCTGACGAGCGCACCGGGACCCCCCAAATTGGGGACTTTTCGCTTAGGGCCCAAAGAGAGGAAAACCCGCTGCCTTAAATGCCGCCCCGGGGGCCAGCAGCGGCATCGTGGGAAATTTGGGTGGAACTGGAATTTTTTTGGGGCTACTGGAGGCTAGAACTCTGGGGTTCGCCGAATTGAGGAAGTGAACGAGGCAACATTGAGGATTTCTTGCCACTGGCTTGTTTAAGAAAAAGAAGTTGCTTAAAAACGGCTTTCGAAGATTAAAAAAAAATATTTTTTTGTTGTTTAATGCATGCGGATGATGGCTGGTGCCTCCCCTACTCAAACGTGGTGGTTAAAGCGACAACCACTGACGCCTACGATAAAGAAAAAGCCTTGTAAAGTATTTTAATAGTTTCGAGTTTCGCGAAATTTCGAGATTGCCAATCGGGTATTGGATCATGCTCCTCCACGGAACAGAATAGCCGCGACGCGCGCTAAATTTCGCGGCGCGCGCACGGCTAGCGCACGGCCCGCGCACGGCTGCCGCACGGCGCGCGCGGCTACTCCACGGCTAGTCCACGGCTCCGTCGCGCGCGCGCGCCTATCGCGGCTAGCGCACGGGCCGGTACCGGCTAGCGCACGCGCCGTGCCTACCAGTCGCGGCTATTCTGTTCCGTGTCGCAATTTTTGAGCACTACTTTGCTATGTTTCAACAATTTTCAAAACTCAGGATTTTTAGGTGGCTCTAATTCCCCCCCGATGTCTAACCAGTCACTTAAATTCGATATTTAATTTTATTAGGTTGCAGTTCCCAGCAGTATCGGCAGTACGCATAGTACCAGCTTTAATGCGTGATTTCCAAGAACAAGCTAAGCTCCTTGGCGCTTACAATTTTTAGTTGGTAGAATTTTGTTGTTTCACATTCTCCTTGAGCTAAATGTAATAATGAGCTCTTGATAACTTGATAATTTGCTCTTTGATAAAGACATCCGGCTGAAATTTTTTGTAGAGCAATTTTTACGTAGTTTTTTAATAGGCGATGATTTTGGTTTAAATGTAAAGGCCCCAAAAACACTGGGTAAAAGAATCATCTTTCAGGAAATTTCCAAGTTATCGCTTGGAAGTACCAAGTAATCTATGAGCGCGCTCTGCAAAAAATCATTTGGCCATTTTTCGAAATTAAGGTATGCTAATTTCCAAAAATTGCCCATCCGAACGCCACGGTCCCTTACCCGCTCCCAAAATCAAAAAATTCCAAACAGGATTCGCCCAGAATTGGCCGCCCCCGGGTCGGCGGCTTCCAAATTGAAAAATTGGCGATTGGCATGGTGTCTCTGCTTCTCTCTCTCTCTCTCTCTCTCTCTCTCTCGCTCTCTCTCTCGCCCGACTTGGCTTTTGCGCTAGATTGATTCCGGGGTAGGCTTCGAAAAGACGAAAAATTCGAAGGATTCTTCTTGGGGCCCAGGCAGAGGGCCGAAGAGGGCCCATTTTGGATTAGGGTCCCATCACGGCTTGAGGATGATGCTGATGATGAACATTAAATTTTCATTAGGCGACCCCGGGGGGTTGAGGGAGGAGGATTTTTGGCGGAACGTGGCTAAGGTTCTGATGGAAATTCTTGAAAAATAATTACTTTTTCGATTAACCAGGGTTGAAAAGCCGCGTAGCGGCTTTTCAACCCTGGTTATCTCCGCGGGGACCTATACACGGCCACTTTGCATATAATAATTTGCACAAAGTGTACGATTTACGTTAGGAATCTGGCCACCACAGGAATGACGTGAGTAACCGTCTTCAAGCCCCGCAAAGCCCAGAATGAGCCGAAATAATTCTCGTATGCAAATTAGTCTATTTCCATATGTTTTAAAACGTTAAATTAAGGTATAAAACGTTATTTTAGTAAAAATCTGATGAGCGTGCAGTAATCTACGCCCTCGAATACCCCTAACTACCTTATTTCTGAACCAAAAAATCCTTTCCCCTTCGAGTTATGGCTGGAACCCGGGATTCTATGCAAAGTGTCTACACACACAGACACTATTTTTTTATATATAGTAGGATCATTAGGTTTTTTGGGCGAGGGTGAAAATAAGTGTTCCACTAAAATCAAGCATGAGTTTTATATTTCTTGCCCTAATAGTTCGTTTGCGCGCTTAAGTAATTTGTCAGGTTGATCGCTTCTTCGATCAATACTTTTCTACCGTAAATCACAGTTCTTGGTGGCGTTTATTTAGTTTTTAGTTTTAGTTTGAAATGATAGATTGTTCACTTAATTTGTACGTACTTCAGCCATATTTAAAGGAAAAATGTGTTTCGCTAAAGTTAAGCTTTAGTTTGATAATTATTGTGTTAATCCGGATTATCTACTTCCCAGTAATACTTTTTTGCTTTACTTTTCGATCGCGCCTCGGATTTTGATCGAACTTTTTAGAAGTAATTAAATTTCAATTAATTCGCATGTTTCCCGTCCTTTACAAAAAAAAAATGTGTTTTCTTGAAAATAGGAAACAATAGAAAGTGATGTGAAACAATTTCTTGATTCACCTCTTTGTGGTTCAGTTGTAAATAATAGATTTCAGGTCATAAGGTAATTGCTCTGCTTTTTAATACTACAATAATTTAAACTATAACGCTACCACGAAGGAGGGGGCGTTTGCTCTGTTTGCTTTGACAATTACTTCGAATTAAAAAAAACTCTAGTCACACAGCACTGATGTTACTCATGCCTCTAATGGAATTTTCGTAGCGTCCCGATGTTGAAAAATACTTGAAAGATGTTTTTTTTGGTGTAAATGCGCCATTTTTCGATCGGTTTTCGGTATGTGCTTCGTGAAAAATAGTCATAGTTTTTTTTCTAGTTTTGTGTTATACTTTAATACCAAAATCCTAACCTTTAAACTAAGAAAAAAACTACATTTTCGTGTCGTCCTCGCCGGGACCAGAAAGGGCAGACGCGTTAACCCGTTTTTAGATGAATTGCCGTTTGGAGGGCCGTTTGGCCCAAATGCCCCCAGGCGATGCCCCCGGAAAACATCAACAAATATATCTAGCCCTGGAGCTTGAAACGTGGCGATAATTCATCTGAGATTTTGGAAGGGTGAACAGATTTCGGAGATCACGAAGGGATCAAGTGGCCTTTTTCTCCGACGCGGAATTTCGTAAGGAATCTTTGCTAGCATGTAGTAGTCCAAACGCCATTAATGCGGCTTAACCGAGTCTCAATACGAAAATGATCGAAACATTTTTGTACAAAAAAAAACCTAAATTGTTCCATAAATCCAACGCTTTTTCTCATTTAGATAAAATGCCCCCTGCTAGCCTGCCTTCCTCTATACGAATTTTCCTAATGAATCTCTGCTAGCTAGCATTGGCAAGAGAGAACTAAAGCACTAGACTGCGCCCAAAATACCAAAAATACCGAAATATCTTTATTTTTCGCAAAAAAAATGTTTGATAAATCTTATTGATTAACGCGCAACTGATTCCGAAGTTCCAGGCCCGTTTGAGAAGTCCGTCTGTCATCTGCTCTTTCCCAATTTCGCAAGGGATCGCTG